CAAGCTGGCCGGCTGTAAAATACATGTGACAACTTCCTAACATATGTGTGATATACACATTCATTCAGACACATACAAGTTTACAATTGTTACCAAGATAATACATTTACATTAGCCTTACATAAGGCCTATAATAAACATTACTAGAAAATATGCTTTTCATTCATACATTGTTTTCTACTCATTCCATACTTATGAATTAGTATTATAACATTACAGCTAATAAAAGTAAGTGTTAATTACCTTCCAAAGAAGCCACACAGTCCTCTACACACGTTGCCAAACGTACGTTTAATTTCTCCGAGGAGAACAAGTGCCGTAGCACCAAAATAATTATAATGTAATAATGGCTAGTGCCTAAGCACCAAAAAAAAACGTGTACCTCCGAAGAGGGGAGAAGGTAGAGTGACCGGACTGTAGCGTCCCTACCCTACAGGTCACATGACTTAGGCTCCGCCCTCGTGACCGCAGTCTGAGGTCGATCCCCGGTCAGCCTTACAATACCGCTGGTCTCAGGTCCAGGTGTGTACCGTTACCTGTGGGGTAGCAAGAAGGGGGGAGAGGTGGAGACACCATGATAGATATTTATAATCTATCATAACAATCCCTTCAAATGCCGAGTTCACAAAAAAAAAATAATAAACTCTACTTCATCTGTCCATGGACGATTCGGTTCGAAAGGGTAACTTTGTTTTTTTTTCCTTATCAAGGTAACCAGTGTTAACAAACTGTCAAGATCGATCGCTGCTGCGAGAAAAAAAAATCTGCTTACGTCCTTATCTAGGTCACTGACCTGTGGTGTAAGAACACATCCGGTTTTAAAAATTCTGAATTAGGATTAGGATTAGGATTATATAAAATAAATTTAGCAGCCGTCCCTTAGTGCTAAAACAAAATCGCAACGACTTTTTACTATTTGTATATATGTTAATCTAGAAAATTCATAATATACATTATAATGTTTATATTCATTTGCACGATTTAAATTGATGGCGGCTGGGCAAATAATACTAAATTTAGCCTAGTTAGGGGCGGTAAGTCAAACAAAAGACAAAAAAAAACTCCACAGAAATTCCATTAAATTAATTTCATATAAAGCTAAAGCGTGACTCAAAAAAAAAAAATGGAAAAAATCATGCATTTTTTTTTACTGAACGAATATTACTTTACCTTACCAACACAATGACATTTTAAATAAATTATTTCCCCTTAAGCTCTTTAAAATCGTGCATTCAAAATAATTTGAAAAAGCTTTTAACCTAAAAAAAATTATCATGAGTACATTAGCTATTTTATGGTCTGTTACCTTAAGTCTTTAGCAGGGAAGGCTTAAGAAAATCGTTAACTTTTAAAAGATTTCATTTTGTTATGGTCAGATGCTTTCTTTTGTCATTATAAATACGACTGTAGAAGGGAAGAAATTTATTATAAAATGGTGTGAAACATGGAGTTTTCACGTGAAAAGTATTGAACGTACTCAACGTTTTAGGTGATGGTTCAAAGTACATCCATTTTACTTAGGAGGTCAAACAGGTTCGTTTTTGTTTTTCAACATTTGAATAACTTCAAATTACTTTAAAAATGTTTCTCTACTTTGAATAAAAAAATAAACCGGGAGTGATCTCCCCTAAACTTTCTCGAATATTTTTATATAAAATAACAGGGGATGGGAACTCGGGCTATAGACATGATTTTTAATCCATTTTAAATGCTTAAAGTTTTAAAAATAGAATAAAATCTCGTAGACAAATTAATTGCACACCAAGTGAACGCAAATAAAAAAAGCGCATAATAGTGCGCAATATTATTAGTACTTTTAAAATTTACATTAGTTTTTTGAGAAATCGGAAGTAGCGTAAATTACTACTTCCAGTCAACGGAAATTACTCAAAATTTAACAGAAGGTAGAGAATTAGATCTTTTACTTACATGTGAAATTTCATTTATCTATCTGAAATAGTACTCAAGTTATAGGCTTTTAAAAAATTCAAAGTAGGAAAAGTACCACTTCCGGTTATCGGAAATCGCTCAAAAGTTGATACGGATCTACGATTTTGATAAAATACTTATATATGAAATTTCATCAACCTAGCTGTAACGGTACTCAAGTTATCGTGTTTACACACGGACAGACACACACACGGACAGACACACACACACAGAGACATACGGACAAGATTGCAAAATTATGTTTTTCCGTATCAGTGAGGTGTAAAACGTCGAGATTTGTAAAAATCTCGATTTTTTTTTTTGCACGATTACAATACTTTCTCTATACTACGTATATACGAGAAAGTAATAATGAAAACAACATCAAGTCGTTTATTGAATGTTTTAAAGAATGTGCATACATTTACAATTACTGGTTTTGCTAATATTTCTTATGATCATTTTTTAAAAATAATTGTATCTATTACTAGACGAATTTGTATAATCAATAAAAGAAGGCATACGTCAATGTATAATTTCAACCATTTAAAAAAAAAACAACCGCGACTGAAAAAAAAGATTATCGACGTGAACAAATACCACCTTTACTCCTTCAGACTAGGTAAATATTAACGAAGGTTCTAGAATAAATTGAACTCATTTTACCCCCATCGATTTTTACCGTGACGTCATTCTGCCCACAATGACCCAAGCTAATTGGAGTACAGTTCAGAAGATTTTGAAAAAAAAAAAAAAAAACCCACACATTTAGAAATGAATATCCATTTAATATCATGAGAAGATTAACGGCACAATTCAAAGGGAAGGTGTTCGTGAGATTTTCAAGGGAGGGAATCACGTTCTCTGTAAGACAGGAAAACTTTTTCAACTCTGTGACGACATAAGCAAGTTCTGAGCAGCAGAAGGAAAAGAACATTTTATTTCTATTTGGTTACGGAGCAACTAAACTAAGCAACACTTTAGTTTGTGCCAGGGTTTGTTTCACAAAATCAACGTGGTATAAGCCTAGAGCATTTTTTTCTTTTTTCCTATACGTCTGTCATATTTAGAGGATAAATTATGGTTTAAAAAAGTATTCACATCAATAAGTCATTATTTAAAGTTAAACAACCGCGAGCTATTTAATATAAATTATTTTACTAAATTTGGACGTTTTTTTTCCCAAGATTTTCATCACTGTTTTTCCTGTGTTTATTGAAGTCGGACGTCTCTAAAGAAAAGTTTGTTCCGTTCTCAAGCTCAAATTTTACAGAAATATTTATCTTTTCATCTACCAAACGGCCGCATCTAAAGGAATTTTGTTTTACAAAATATTTCTTCTACTTTCATACAAGTCGGCCGCAGTTAAAGGAAATTTGTGCTGTTCAAGTTCATGTTTTACAAAATATTTCTTTTACAAGTCGGCCGCAATTAATAGAAATTTGTTCTGTTCAAAGTTTTAGAAAAACAAAGTTCTCCTTTATCCATACAAGTTGGCCAACTCTAAAGAAAAGTTTGTTCTGTTCAAGTTTTACAAAATATGTCTTCTATTTTCATATAATTCGGCCTCAATTAAAGGAAATTTGTTCTGTTCAAGTTTTACAAAATATTTTTTCTATTTTCATACAAGTCTGCCAACTTTAAAGAAAAGTTTGTCCTGTTCAAGTTTTACAATATTTCGTCTGTGTTCTACAACTCGAACAAAACTAAAGGAAATTTGTTCTATTCAAAGTTACATCAATATTTCACCTTAGTTCTACAAATGGGAAATATTTAAATGAATCTGCTTTTACACGTTTTTACAACAGTTTTTTGCCTGTCTTCTACAACTTGACCGAAAATAAAGGAAATTTGTTCTATTCAAATTTTACACCGATATTTCTCTTTAGTTCTACAAATGGGACACGTTTAAATGTAATTCCCGCTTTTTCAAGTTTTCAACACAATTTTTCTATAGTTCACAAGTCAGGCACATCTAAAGGAATGATAGTTCTGCAGAAATTACCTCAATTACCAAGACAATTACGCAACAAATTTTTTTTATCAGCAACGATTTTGTCTGACCTTAGGAGCGGAATGACGTTCGGGAAATTATCGCTAATCTGTTCACGTGAGGGACCTCGGTAAAGACTACATTGACGTGATGTTGATCACTTCGATTGATTCCTGCCAATCACGCATCGATTAGCTAGCAAGTCAATTACAGAAGAACAATGGTTGTTGAACAAAATTATTTTGACGTTTGAGAGGTGTGTGAATAGAATTCTATTCGGGATTTATTGCTGGTTGAGGAAACTTTAAAGTATTGAAATCTAAATAAAATACACCTTTTTTAGAATTTCGGACACGTTGATACTAATTCAATGTGAACATTTGGTTGCTGATGGTGGTAACAATATGGTTCATATTATACTTTTGACAAAGCCTGTCAATGTGAATGTTTTATGCCTCAAATATACTTTTTAAAAAGTTTGGACACGTTAATTCAGTTGCAATATTTGTTGGATATGTAGAGTTGTAGTGTAGTTCGTACACGATTTTGAATAAATCCTATTCAATTGGGATATTTATAGAAGCTATACTGCGAAGAGGTTCTGTGTTAATTATTCTTTAAGACAAAAAATCTCAACTTTCATTTACTAAAGAATTTTGACTCGTAGTGAGTAAGGAAAACCAGCAATGGTATATTTTATGACTTCAAACTTTACTTGATTATTTTAATCTATAAACATGGATAAAAACTCGAATAATTACTGAAAAAAAACAACAACTGTGAGATAGTAGTTCCAGTTTATGTTCAGATTTAGTCAAATATATGTGCTTCAAAGGAGAATAAATATTCGTAAAAAGGTTGCTTTATGTAAATGCAAATTTTTACCACTATAATTGCAAGTGCAAAGTTGCTTTGAATGTCTTAACATCATTTACCACGATAGTTGCAAGTATAAAGTTACTTTGTGAGTCAACCCATTTTCACCTAAATATGCTTTATGTTTCTACACATTTTCTCATCCACACAGTCGCAAGTTGGTCTTTAGCCATGGCATCTGTACTCTAAACTCCACAACAACATGACTATCACTTCCAGCGTTAACAGAACGAGCGAATCCACTGAAATCACGGCCGTCGATGCGTGTTTGTTCATTCTCGCTCTGTTACTCTCCCTCTTTATATGCACGGTAAATATTGTAACAATTATACTGCTATGGCGCACCGAAACGCTCCGGACACTGGCCAACTTGTACCTGGCCAGTTTGGCCGCGGCGGATTTGGTGGTGGGGCTGGGGCTTGTTCCCATGGCCTTGTTCCTGTTGCCGCCCACGCGAGTGAGTTTGTTCAACCGGTACAGCAACCTTTGCGTGCTGATCAGCGGTCTAAACCTGGGCATGGCCGGTAACTCTATCATCCACATGGCCTTTGTGTCTGTCGACAGGTACCTCTTCATATCCAAACCTTACACCTACCAGCGCGTTATGAACGTGCGCATCGTCGTTATCAACGTGACGTCAGCTTGGGTCATCGGCGTCTCCTACACCTTCCTCCCCCAGTTCATCCACCAGTCGTTCACCGACGGTGTCAAATGCGACATCACGGAGCTGCTGCCGATGTGGTACCTGGCGTACGGCGCCTGGGGGTTCTACTTCACCTCGGTCGTCGTCATCCTAGTCATGTACACCTTGATCCTACGCACCGCTTTCAAACAGCGTAAATCCATCCAAACCGCCGCGCCTTTCGGTGCGCCCGCGAACGGGAATTCCCGAAACACCATCTCGAAGAGCACTTTAAAAAGTTTAAAATTTTTCTTCACAGTGTTCGGGATTTTCTTCCTGTGCATGACGCCCATCGTGATATCCCTGGGCGTGGATTACTACGTCAACGTGCCGGTGACCCTGTATCGAATCCTGGTCATACTGGCGCTGACCAACTCTGGCATGAACTTCGTCATCTTCACCGTCCAGAACGGGCAGTTCCGGCGTGCGGTTTTTAAATTTTTCCGGTGCTATTCATTAATTAGAGAGCTAAACGAGGACCAGGCAATGGTTAGTGCTATCACATAATACAGTATAACAATTAGGAAAAGTAAATTGTCTGCAGTGTACATGTGTGTAGGAGAATAACTCTATAAATATTTATAAATTTATATTCATTTTTTTGTGTGTGGAGTGAACGTTGATTGAATGACATGGTTGCCTTTTCGGATCTGTAGTTCAATGGACAAATTAAAATAGAATTCATAGATAAAATGGTCTGTGTTCAGTTTTTATTCCAAGCCGTGATCCCCCTTTTTTACGTAAGTTAGTTACACGTCAAAGCTGGGTAAAATTAAATCATGACGGTACACGGGGCAGGGGCGTAGCGAGGGGGGGGGGGCGGGGTGCGGACCGCACCGGGTGACACCATTTAGGGGGGTGACACCAAGGCAAAAAATAGCAAAATATATAGAGAAAAACTTGAGGGGGGGGTGCAAATCGTAAGTTTGAGGGGGAGGGGGTGCAAATCGAAAACTTGAGGGGGGGGGGGGTGCAAATCAAAAGTTTGAGGGGGGGGGGGGCAAATCGAAAATTTGAAAGTTTGTCGCTACGCCTCTGGGGGGACGGGACACCATTAAGTGCCGCAGGGGGTGACACCCGACCTCGCTACGCCACTGACACGGGGCAAGTGAAGTAGAGTTCTTCTGTTTCTGTGAAGTCGCCGTATGAAGGGATAGTGTGGTCAGTATTACACCCAGCCGACTGAACTCTCCCTAACATAAGTCAGGTACCCATGAGAGCTGGGTGGACTCGGGGACGTTCTACTCACCTGAACCTGGATTCGAACTCTACCGCTAGGCCACCCAAAGCAAAGTTTTTGGATCCAAACTAGAGACCTTCATGTAATAAGGGCGTGCTCTCTTCACAAAAACATAGTGGAAAAAAAAAACAAAAAAAATAAAAAAAAATTTTTAAAAAAATCAGGAAAATCACAAAATATACATTAATTTTTATTACATCCTGTTTGAAATAGTCGGACAAGAATGCTTCCATTATGCTTGAGTGTTACAGAAGTCGATTTTTCTGTAACAGCTGAAAGCATTTTACGATCTAGTTAAATGTACTTTCAAGCCAGATGTGGAATATCAACGCCCCCCCCCCCCCCATCCCCGGCCTTTCCTTCGTTTCATTTGATACGACAAGGTGCACAGGGGCATTGTTATTATTGTTCTTTTATGCATATACGTCTTGTTTATAATGCATTTTTAAAGCTTATACATTTAGATAATTCATTTAACCGACTATGATATTTGATTTGTGATTTTCAAAAACAATACAGACACTTTTCTTGTAACTCAGATTCGTTAGATTCTGACAACAACGGAAAAATAGTCCGTAAGTCTCGCGTTCGAATCAGGGTTCAAGTCAGTAGACCGTCCCTGAGTCCACCCAGCTCTGATGAGTACCTAACTCACGTAAGCGTGAGTAAAGGCGGTGTAGCATAGTGCTGACCACACTATCCTTTCATATGCCGAGGTCACAGAAACAAGTGAACTTGCCCCATAGACCGTCAGGTTTGAAAGGGAACTTTACTTTTACTTTACTTTACAAGTTTCTATAGGAGACAAACTACTAACTGACGGACAATATTCACGTAGTGATTTGCATATGAGAACATTATCAATATTAAGTCGATCGAGTGTATATAATATTTTAAATGCACCATAGGTTAGACTTAGAAGGATCGGGTTGGTTTAAAAATGTATATTTAAAAAAAATACCATTACTTTTAAAGCTTAAATATCGGCCAAGTATTATTTCTTTACAATATCTAAATACTCATAAGCAGGGTATTAGACAATTATTAGATGAGAAAAAAAACTTCTTTTACTATTACAGTAAAAATAAAAGTATTAATCACAGCATTTCGAGCAGATATCAACGGTTTTTATTTTTACTCAGTTTTAAAGAACAAATAAACAATTAAACATACATTTTCCTAAGCATATATATACTTAGTTCTGACATTTACTAAAATATTTATTATAGTTTACTAAAAGCTTTTTATCATACATTTTTTTTATACCTGTTTCATTCAAAACTCACTGACTTTGTTCCATGAGGAATTATTTCAGCATTCCTCAGCCAACTGACCCCCATCGATTTCGGACAATGGTTGGTTACTCATGTCCACACGTCCTAGAGACATAATCCCTAATCACACAGCAATCGGTAGTTTCGATCCGCGGTCGCACAGTAATCGATAACCGTTATCAACGCGTCGACAGATTTTCAATTGGTTTATCTCAACTGGATTAGGCTGTAGTTACTTTAAAGTTGTGTTGACCTTTAGCCTGATTTATATTCGTTTTGTCTAATGTTATTTTCAAAAGTCTCGCCAGTAATTCACACATTTTGTAAGAAAACAATGACTTATAGACTGACCTTTAGCCTTATTCATATTAGTTCTATCTAATGTTTTTTTTTAACAGTCCGGCCAATAATTAACACATTTTTATTAGAAAACAATTACTTCTAGTGTGACCCTTAGCTAAATTTATATTCGTTTTCTAATATTTTTGAAAGGCTGGCCAATAGTCCACACATTTTATAAGAAAATAATTACTTCTACGGTGACCCTTAGCAGAGGCGTAGCGACCCTTCCCGGCGCCCGGGGACAAACTTTTCGATTTGCACCCCCCCCCCCCTTCGAGATTTCGATTTGCATCTCCCCCCCTCAAACTTTCGATTTGCACCCCCCCTGGAGATTTCGATTTGCACCCCCTCAACCTTTCAATTTATTTTTCCAACCCATTTTGGCGCCCCCTAAGGACATATGTCCCCCCTCCCCGCTGCTACGCTACTGACCCATTAGCCAAAATCATATTCGTTTTATCTAACGCTATTTTGAACAGTCTGGCCAGTAATTCACACATTTTGTAAGAAAACAATTACTTCTAGTGTAACCTTTCGCTAAATTTATATTCGTTTTCTAATATTTTTGAAAGTCTAGCCAATAATTCACATATTTTACAAGAAAATAATTACTTCTACGGTGACCCTTAGCCAAAATCATATTCGTTTTATCTAACGCTATTTTGAACAGTCTGGCCACTAATTCACACATTTTGTAAGAAAACAATTACTTCTAATGTAACCTTTCGCTAAATTCATATTGGATTAGTGTAATGTTATTTTAAAAGTCTGGCCTTCAATTAATACATTTTGTAAAAAAAAAAAACCATTGATTTCTACCGTGACTTTTAGCCTAAATTCATATTGGATTAACTTAATGTTATTTTGAAAAGTCGGGTCGTTTCTAACACATTTCGTAAGGAATAAATCATCCCTACGGTGACATTTAATCAAACTAATGACCGTTTAGTGCATATGTTGGTTTAAAATTTTGGACCGGCAATCAGAGGCGTAGCGACACAATCCGACGCCCGGGGCAAGCTATACATTGTAAGCCCCCCCCCCCCCTGTTTATAGATTTATGGGACGGCGAAGGTCTCGAGTTCGAATCCGGGTCCATGTCAGTACTATGTCAGTGAGTCCACCTAGCTCTGATGGTTACCTAACATGTTAGGGAATGTAAAGGCGGCTGGCAAAGTGTTGACCACACCTTCCCTTCTTATTCACCTTAGAACCCCCCCCCCCACCAATCCTCACGACTAACGTGAGTAAATATATAAATAGCAGAGGCGTAGCGACCCTTCCCGGCGCCCGGGAACATACTTTCAATTTGGCGCCCCCCTCGGGAGCAAATTTTCGATTTGCACCCCCCCCTCGAACTTTTCATTTGCACACCCCACTCAAACTTTCGATTTGCACCCCCCCCTCGAACTTTTGATTTCCACCCCCCCCCCCTCAAACTTTCAATTTGGCGCCCCCCCCCTAAGGTCGGCGCCCGGGGACATATGTCCCCCCCCGCCCCCCCCCCCTCGCTACGCCTCTGATAAATAGAAGTAGAACCTCTATAAACCTATTGATAAATTGATGTAGAAAACGTCCATAAAGCCAAGTAGCAGCTTATTTTATTGAGTTTGACTGTGTATAATTAAGTAATGCAGCTTAGAATAAACTTTTTACTTTTATTTTTCTACCCCGTTTGTCGCTACCGGGGCGGTCACCCCACCCCCTCCCCTTGATCCGCCTCTGTCGGTCAGCTTATTTTATTAGACACCAATCACCAAAAGGGTGGCGTTTAGTCGAAGTCTGTTGGTTTAGTGTAATGGTAATTTAAAAAGTTGGGCAGGTAACCAGATTTTTAAATATGTTGATTTAGTGTACTGGTAATTTAAAAAGTTGGACTGGTAACCACCAGATTTTTTTTAAAGAAAACAAACATTGGGTTTTTTTTTGTGCTCAATACTGTACTTAAAAATCGTAATCGAAAAAAATAGCAATTAACTCTTGGCTTATCATTTTGATTGTTTATTTAAAAAAAATATTACTAGTAAAATAAGAGTAAAATATGCAAGCTATTACAATATTGTTAATGAGAAATTTGTAATATATTTTACAAATAGGCGTCTGTCAAGTTTTTTTTTTACGTTTCTGTAATTTAAAATGCTATTTTCAGTGAGGCCCCTAAAATATTTTGAAAAATGTTATATAATTCGGTCTTTTAAAAAAATACTGTTGCCGAGGCTGACCTATGCAATAGCTAGGTTGTGAATAAAACATGTAACATAAAAATGTTTCAACAGGAAAAGAAAACATTGCGCGGAATGAATAAAATATCTTGTCTCTGACCTAAGGGAGGTAATTCAAATAATGTCACGTATCCGTTAATCAATGGTGTTAAACAACATCTAACATGTTAAAACTGCAGAGGTAAGAAAAAAAAATGATTGAGAATATTGTGTTAGTATGTCTTTATAATAAAATTGATTTTTTAACACATTAATATAAATAAGTGTTGGGTTTATGCGCAGGTCTCGATGTTAATTAGGGTTCAACATTTTATTGGGTTATTATTAGAGGTACCAGCTTTACTAGAATGGACAATACAAGAGTAGATAATAAGTTAAGTAATACACGTTGTCATATAGTAGTTTGTCACTAGGCGAGGGCTGGGGTATAAATCGTGTGACACCATGTAATTGGTGACACCATTAAATTGATGACACCATTAAATTGGTGACACCATTTAATTGACAATATCATTTAATTGGTGACACCATTAAATTGGTGACACCATTTAATTGACAATATCATTTAATTGGTGACGCCATTTAATTGGTGACACCATTGAATTGACGACACCATTAAATTGGTGACACCATTGAATTGGTGATACCATGTAATTGGTGACACCATTGAATTGGTGATACCATGTAATTGGTGACACCATTAAATTGATGACACCATTTAATTGGTGATACCATTTAATTGGTGACGCCATTTATTTTGTGACGCCATTTAATTGGTGACGCCATTTAATTGGTGACACAATTTAATGGGTGATACCATTTAATTGGTGGCACCTAATCGTAACATCTAATGCTAAAATATTCTTTAATCCAGTTAATTAAATAATAAAATAGCGGCGTGAAAGGACTGACTCTATATCTAAAATGAGAGTTATCGTTGTAGGGGTGGGGTGACACCTTCATTCACCGAACCGGGTGACACCCGACCTAGTGACGCCACGGTCGTAATATATCCGCATTCAACTTTTCCTTCATCCTAATCCGTGTTTTATTTTTAGACACAATTAGGTTAGACTAGCGTGTCACCCCTTCTTGGGACACATACAGCTGACAAGAATTTTCCAGGCATCTCAGTCCTGGGCTAGTCTCTCCAACTGTCCCCAGGTGTATCCAATCTTCTTGGTGTCTTCTTCCAAGTCACGTCTCCAAGTCCTCATTGTACTGTCACTTTCTCTTCTGCGCTATAGATTCCAGGTGAGGGCCTGTCTTGTTATGTCTACAGACTTCCTGAGTATGTGGCCCTCCAACTCAGTGGCGTAGCCAGGAACTGGTCATGGGAGGGGTTCAAAATTGTTTCCATAAGTATATATATATATATATATATATATATATATATATATATATATATATATATATATATATATATATATATATATATATAATATATGACTACCGGTGTATATATATATATATATATATATATATATATATATATATATATATATATATATATATATATATATATGACTTTATATATATGACTATATATTTGACTATATATGACTATATATATATATAGGGGTCGGGGTGTCCATGGGAGGGGTTATAACCCCCCTCCTTAACCCCACCTTGCCTACGCCACTGCTCTAACTAGGGGGTTGAACATAAGGTCATCAACCTTATATCATATGAAACAACACTCAACAGAAACTCCGAGAGAAATACTGAAAATACGAAGACAAAATTACCAATAGTATAATTTTGACATAAGGAATCAGAACGAGGCTTCGTTCTAGCCCTTGACCTTGAGAACATGCACTTTTAGGAGAGACCATTTTGACAAAGTACGTGGGATAAGTTGCTTGCTTGATCTTGTAAAGGGCGAGTACTCTAGACACAAATTGATAATTGCCACAGTTATGCTATTACCAACAACGATAAAAAGATGTGAAAATGTTTTTGCGAGCTAATTGGAGTCTGTTAAAACTTTTTTTCAATCAGACAAGACTGTTCAAATTGAGTGTCAAAACCGATTGTTCGCTGAACTTTTGTTAAAGGCTGAATTCATTAAAAAGATAACTATTCTAATTATGTGTCGCGATTCCTATTTTATCTTAGTTCATTTCAAAAATTGTTTCATTCCTTCCATTGTTTATCAGAGATGTTATCGATTTTATTGATTTTATATTAAAAACAGATTGTAAGCTTACTAATACATACGTACCTTTGGTAACCAAAAATAATGAGCTACTAGCTTGATTAGCTTAGCATGAACTGTAAGCTACCTGTAGTAAAAATATTTTACTTGATACAAGTTTCAAACCAACTTTGACTCAAAAATTATTTTGATGATTGAACTTAATCATCTCATCTTTTTCCCGTTCGTGCCTAGGACACATGGGGTAGATGAAGTAGAGTTCATCAGTTTTCAGTGACGTTGGCATATGAATGGATAATGTGGTCAGAACCAAGCCCAGCCGTCTTATTTTCCCTTTAGGTACCCATCAGAGCTGGGTAGACTCAAGGAACCTTCTAGTGACTTGAACCCGGATTCGAACTCGAGACTTTCGGGCTCTCTCCGGCTAAGCCACGCAGTCCCACTGAACTCTATACAGCTCTTCAAACAACCTTGGTGCAATGTTATTGTGTGTGTGTGGGGGGGGGGGGTCCGATACAGATTTTAAACACCTTTAGCTTAATCATATATTGTTGTGGGTTATGTAAGCGATTAAAAAAAACAACTTTAGATTTATCTTATTTTAAGGAGAATGGTTTGGGGGATTCTCGATGTATCAGGGAAATAGACTGTCACATGTAAATCTCGATATATCTTGGTACTAAATCCAGACTGAGACGTTTCACAGATTGGATTATCCGCCCCTGGCTTCAATAGTGTAGGCTGTATACACCGCTTGATATCGGCTTTACTAAATCCATAAGCTTACATAATCCAAGACTCGATGTCTGTGCTTATGTTTTAGGACTGGCTCAGATGGTCGTGTAAGTTAATCTTATAATCCTCTTACTCCTTGTGGAGATAAGTAGGGGCTCGGGTTCAAGGCCAGTGACCAAACAGACCAGTGGTGTAGCCAGGAATTGGTCATGGGAGGGGTTCAAACATTTTTCCATATGTATACAATCATATATATATATATATATATATATATAAGGATCCATGGGAGGGGAAATAACCCCCCTAACCCCCCCCCCTTGCCTACGCCACTGAAACAGACGGATTAGGAGACATGTATAAGAAGCCCTTAACATAGTTTTTAAAGTATGTACATATGGGGGGGGGGGGGGGGGACTATTACTGACCGGAAGAAGTTGTTAGCTGAAAAGGCAACAAAATGTACTTTAGATAGGTTTTTAAAACTTTCTATTTGTGCAAATTGAAGACTATTTTCTTCTTCTTTTCCAACTTAAAAGTGCAATGCTGATAGCATCATAAGATAAGCAATGTCTATCACCAAACAAGATTGTCCGTCCTCTTGTTTCTTTCACTACATGAAGCTGGTGAGCAGAGTTTCTGGATAATTAGATAAATTAAAGTGCCATTTCATTTATAATAAAGGGAATGCCATTTTTAAAAAAAAAAGTGAAAAGATGTCGTAAAAACTTTAACAATGTCATTAAGTCAAGGTTATAAATAATCCATTATCATAATTGTCTCATAATGACGTCGTTCGTAACTATATCATAATGTCTTTATTTATAATTATTAAAATGCATTATTTATAATTGGAGACTTTTGGGTTAGTAGACTAGCGCTCTACCACTAGGCCACGCCGTCCCATCAGTAGTTATTATTATTAAATTGCATAATTTCTAATTATATCATTAATAATAACAAACTGCACCATTAGTCTCGAGTTCGAATCCGGGTTTAAATCAGTAAATCACTCGTGATGTGTAACCTAACTCACGTTATGGAATGTAAAGGCGGATGGGTACACTATCCTTTATATGCCGAGGTCACATAATCAGTTGAATTTTACTTCACTTGCCCCATAGACCGTCAGGTTCGAAACGGGAACTTTACTAACGTATAATGCCAACCTAACAAAAGTATAAATGATTCATTGAAATCAAAACTTGACCTATAAAAAAACCCACCAGATTAAATACTCAAACCTGTTAAAAATGTAAACCTTCTAAGATGTTTTCGAAACCATCATCATTTATTAAAACGATGACGAAATACATCTAATTTCCTGTAAACCTCTAATTTCCTCAGCCTTGCACTTTATTGTCGTCGACATTCCCTTATCTTCTGCTTGACCTTGGGTCAGTTCCCGATGCGGACCGCAGGGAAAGCAGAGCGGACGGTCTCACTAGACATTGATTGGCTAAAGCAATTAAGCGTGCTGATTGGCGCATCGCGATTGTGATGCTTCAATTATTTGATGATTTTTTTTTCTCCCTTTTACCTCAGCTGTTGTTTAAAATATCCTAACTTAGATATGTTACTGGAATATTCTGCACACAGACGTGATTTTAACTGAGAAGTTAGTCCGAATAGGATTGGAGATAATGTTGTTTAGTTTATTTTTTAAAATGTATAGGGAATACAACTTTATATAATACTTCATGTGAATATTTTAGTGTAAAACTATTTGACGGAGTTGGTTCTGAAAGTTGAAATATATCATCCAATATGTATAATTGGAAAACCAAATTACGAAAAAGCCAACTCAGCATATTTTCAATATTAAGTTATTACAAGATGACAAATATTACTTGCTGATGGTGTTCTATGTTTACTTGTGATTTATTTCATTTGTAAGATTGATGCTTTTTTAGAATTTTAGATTTCCATTATAGGAAATTCATTTCACTTCTTGTTGCCAAATGTGATTGTTCGTTTCAGAGATGGAATCTTAAATTCGGATACAATGTAACTAAAAAACGGATTGTAGCAAATATTTTTCTGATATTTAGGCTGTAGGTATGTGTAGAAACTCGGAGATTTGTTAAATTAAGGCTATCTCTGATGTACAGTCTGGTACCGTTTGTCTAGTTTGTAGTTCCATGGTATGATGAAAATCGTCATTTAGACCGCAACTATTCAATTCTCACCTATCTAGATCTAGATTCTAGTACTTCTCCTAAATGTGGTTTATTATTCTTCGTTTCTTATGCAAATATTTGCATACAAGCATTAAAACTTTCGAATAAAAGGCATAAAAAAAAAAAAAAAAAAAAAAAAAAAAAAAAAAACCAAAAAACTAACGAAACAATAATTCGTTAAATCTAAATATAATTTTACTTTGTTTCGATTTCCCTGTTTTCTTTTTGGATTGAAGTGTTTTAGGTGTTTCTTTAGTTGTTCATCTTTAGAGTTATAGACAAGCTAATGTAGCCAATGTTTATACAAGGATTATCATTAAAAACATGGAATCGAATGTTTTTTAACAAAACAAATACAATGAATTCTTCGATCAACTCCAGCGCAATTTCCACGACCGAAACCTACGTCACAGAACTGGACGTGGTCATCTTCTCCTTAGCGATGATGTTGTCCTTCTTTATCTGCACGGTCAACATCTTGACCATCCTCGTCATTTGGCGAACGCCACAGCTCCGCACGTTCGCCAACGTCTACGTCACCAGCCTCGCTTTGGCCGACTTCCTGATCGGCCTTGAACTGGCCTTCACCTCCTTCTTCTTCCTGCCATCCACGCGTGTGGATATCTTCTACAAGCACATCCGCGCATGTCTCATGATGAATGGATTCAACATCGGGATGACGGGGGTATCCATTATCCACATGGCGATTGTGGCTGTGGATCGCTACATCTACATCACCAAGCCGTATTTTTACGAGAGAGCCATAACCAAGCGTGTCGTTGTGTTTTTTATTTTACTAGCGTGGATCGTAGGGCTAACCTATAGCATCCTGCCGCAGTTTTACCATAACAATTACGGGGAAATCCCCGTATGTCACGTTACTGAAATTTTCCCGATTTGGCATCTTTTCTACGGTTCATGGAGCTTATACTTCATCACATCAACCGTCATACTCATCATGTATTTACTCATACTGCGCGCCGCTGTTAAACAGCGCAAGGCAATCCACGCTTTCGGCCCTACGGGAATTCCCTCAAACTCACAAATAAACAACGGGTTTTCCCGGCACGCTATGAAAACCCTCAAGTTTTTTTTCACCGTTTTCGGTGCCTTTTTCGTGTGCCTGACTCCGTGTGTTGTCGTCTTGGGCGTGGACTTCTACGTCACGGTGCCGGCCATGCTGTACCGGGTGCTCTCTGTACTGGCCTTCACCAACTCTGGGATGAACTTCATCATTTTCACCGCCCAGAACCGCTGCTTCCGTCACGCTCTGCTGAAGATGCTGCGGTGCCCGGTCAAGCAGAGACACAACCCGTTTGATATTGAATGCACGTTCACAACCAACCAAGCGCATCGTTCTAGCAGATAATGCACCGTCAGAAGCACAAAGTTATCTTCAAGAAAAGTGAGAATTCTAGTACATCAACAAGAGAATTCGCTTGAATCACTAAAACAAGCAGAATTCAACATACTACAAATTGCTTGAATCACTAAAACAAGCAGAATTCAACATACTACAAATTGCTTGAATCACTAAAACAAGCAGAATTCAACATGTTAAAAATTGCTTGAATGACCAAAACAAGCAGAATTCAACATACTACAAATTGCTTGAATCAATAAAACCAGCAAAATTCACAATACTACAAATCACTAAAACAAGGAAAATTCAAAAATTCAACATTCAACAAAAATATTTGCTAAAAATTGCTTGGATCACTAAAACGAGCAAATTTTAACATAGTCTTCAATGCAATCGGACATGTTTTCTCTGTTCTTCTTGAAATTTTCATTGGATTATCAGACTTTTCTTTTTTTTTATTTATTTTTTTATTTATTTTTTTTTTTAATTTAATACTTTTATTTGCAATTAAACAAGTACATCAACATCAAATTTTTTAACATAATTTTGAACATCAAATGAAAACGAAAGGTTTTGCAAATGTACATAATGAATATTTACATGATGTCATGTATTTGATTATAAAAAATTGCAAAGGATGACAGTAAAAGGGGTGAAGGTCAAATGAAAGTGTCAGAAGTCTGGGTGGGGAGAGGAAAGGAAATTTTTCAGAGAGGGTCAATGGGACAGTGAAGCATTTTCTATGTAGGGAAACAACTTAAGTTGACTAGTTGAAAGGGTGTTGTAGTGGTCGCATTGAGTTGTCAAAAGGTTGCTTTGTGAAAGATGAGGGGAAAGAGACAAGATTTAGAACTTTAAATAAGTTCTGGATATTGATGTTGCGGTGGGTGGTGGGGTCGTTGGAACAGTTAAAGAGATTGTGGGGTTATCATGTCTGAGGGTAAAGTGGATAGAGGGGGAGAGAGGAGGGGGTAGATTTTTTTTTTAAATTTTAATTGTTTTAAACATTTAAATCAGTAATAATAATATATTTGATAGATTTTACACAGCATCAAAGACATGAACAATGAACATCAATTGCATATATAATAATCAAAGGGAAAAGATAAAATGGCATAAGAACTAGATTAAAATAAGGTGTGCAAACTAGGTTTCTCTTCACTGCTTAGTTTAGTGTGCTGCGGAGTCAAAAGTTCACATGGACAGAAATAGAAACGACCGTGGGAGAAGTGTCTCTGTAATCACGTACTGATCTATCATTCCAAAACTTTCCATGACATAAAATTGACCCTTGGCAATGAGGGCACGCTACCTTAAAATATCCGCCAGTCCGGTTGAGTAGGGGGGGGGAAGTGTGTGTGTGTGTGTTGGGGGGGGGGGGGGGTTGAGGTGGGTATCTCTTTCTACCATTCAGGTTGTGCATTTTAAAACCCGGGAAACAGAAGACTGTTCTAATGTTAATTTACTTGGGGGCTGATCGCGTGATGTTTGGCTTGAGACTGTCTAAATTAAAATTAATACTTTATTTATTTCTTTCCTGTATATTTCTTTTTTTTCTCAGTTAAGTGAGAGTTCCCAGTCTATGTCTTAGCTTTGCTTGAAATATTTCTTTTAACTCGATGTCCGTGTTTTTTGTGAAAAAATATCTGACTTTATTCCTAATTTGCCATATAGTCGAATCAGACTTTTCTTTTTTTTTTTTTTTTTTTTTTTTTTGAAAGTATTGAAAATTAAATATTTTATTTCAGTATGATAAAAATGATAACAAGTAAGAAATAATAAATGGACAAGTTAACAATAGCTCAAGCTACAGTATCCACCAGAACCCACTTATAATCATGACCATCCATCCATTGCCCTCAGTCAAACATACACTGACACAAGGATAAATTTAAGCATTCCTAAACAATGAATAGACAACATCCATGTATAAGAGATTATTGATTCTTAGAGAATAAAGAATGGGACGCATCCTCATCAAACATTGAGTGTGATGGGTCTTTATAAAAGCTTAGCTCTGTTTAATAACATAGTTCTGTTTGTATCTGAGAATATTCTAAATGCATTTCTTACTTTTTATTAAATGCCTACTATTAGCAAATATTACTTTTAAGAGTATAAATGTTAACATTATTAGAATAAAAAAATAAAAATCATCTTGTATTGCTGTTTCAGAAATAAATAAAACAATATACTGCTTTGGTCAAGATAGATTACTTCCCTTGTTATGTTTAAACAAAAATATCTATTTGCGTAGTGTGTAGCGTGACATGACTCGCTAAGATCTGGAAATCATCCTCACTGCAGCAGAGAACTAAAATAAGGATCTATAAGTCAATTGTACGTTCTGTACTCCTCTACGCTGCAGAGTCATGGAAACTAAACAAGAAAGTAGACAGCCGACTCAGAGGCTTTGAAAGAAGATCCCTCCAACGCATCCTCAGGATAAAGTGGGACGACAAAGTCCCGAACAAGGAAATATGGCGAAGGACAGGATTAAACGACATTGTCTCAGAAGTTAGAACGAGGAGATGGAGATGGCTGGGCCATGTCCTACGCATGAGCAAAAAAAGACTCCCCAACATGGCGCTGAAGTGGAACCCACCCGGAAAGAGAAATAGAGGAAGACCACTGGGAACATGGAGGAGGGAGATGGAAGAAGAAGTACAGGCTACTGGCAAAACCTGGCATGAACTAAAGTGGCTCGCCCAGGACAGGGTGGAATGGCGGAGATTTGTTGCTGCCCTATACTCCACAGGGAGTGATGAGGATTAAGTTAAGTTAAGTAAGTAAGTAGCGTGACATAACTGAAAACTGAAATGTTGATCAAGTAGGAAGGAAAGATATATCCAAATTTATTATGTGCATTTTAAACTGCAATCTATCTTTAATTAAATTTTTAAAACTTTACAAATTTATGTTTATTATGCTTTTAGTTAAAGAATGTTAGATTTTTGCGTTGATTTATGACTAATAACTCTAACAAAGGTTTTTTTTTAATCTCCCCCCCCCCCACTTCTTAATTACGTAAGCGTTTGATTTTAAACTTCAAGTTCTATTTAACGTGTTCCCAACTGATAATTTAAGTGAAGTTTTCTTTTAGGATGTCTAAAAATTGGTCAATACAATAACTAAAAAATCATCATGGACTAAAATTAACTTACTTATACCGCATTAGACAAAAGGTAGCCATTCACGACTGGTGTTAACTTGTGACTTGGATATTTCTTGCTAGCTTATGCTACCCATTGTTGAAAAAATTCAAACGTTGTTAAATGTTAGCGTCCCCTGATAATGGTTGCTAAACCGAAAAGTCTCGAGCTCGAACCCCCCTCGGGCAGATGAGGCTCGTTAGCTGGGGACAGCCACTCTTCTAGGAGAGACAACTCCAAAATCAATCAACTGCTGCCTTGTAGTTTGTTCTTGGTGGGACAAAGGCTATGGAAGCAAATCCAAAAAGAAAATCAGGCTGAAATCGGAGTCGACGACCTGTATGTCGCATAACAAGTTAACACGTAATTCGTAATTGTAAGGGATTTCTTCCAACACTAAAATTAAGAAAGTAGAAGAAGAACAAACGTCCCCTGGTTAAACAATGAGAGAATTATTTCTTTCTACAGCTAATTGCAAAAAAAAAAAAAAAAAAAAAAAAAAATTAACAAAAAACTCTTTTAATTTGAGCATCCGTTATTGCTGGTGCGAGTAGTAAGTCACGTGCGCCCGTGGTGAGCAAACAGGAAGTGATGAGGGCGGCGTTTTTAAAGGGTTAATGCCACTTAGTTCAATGTTTATTTTTGACAAACAGTTATTTTACTGGGCTCTAGACATCAAGAGAATTTTGTCCTAATCACAGTGACGTGGTATTTATGACATGGGCGCTTACATGGCGCTTACATTTCATGGGCGCTTACATTTCATGAGAGCTTACTTACATGGGCGTTTACATTTCATGAGAGCTTACTTACATGGGCGTTTACATTTCATGGTCGTTTACCTACATGGGCGTTTATATGGGCGCTTACATTTCATGAGAGCTTACTTACATGGGCGCTTACATTTCATGGTCGTTTACCTACATGGGCGTTTATATGGGCGCTTACATTTCATGGTCGTTTACTTACATGGGCGCTAACATGTCATGGGCGTTTGCTTACATGGGCGCTTACATTTCATGAGAACTTACTTACATGGGCGCTTACATGTCATGGGCGGTTACAGTTCATGAGCGTTTACTTACATCAGCGTAAACATTTCAAGGGAGGTTAGATTTCATGGGGGGTTTCATTTCATGTGCGGTTTCATTTCATGGGCGTTTACTTACATGAGCGGTTACATTTCATTGGCGTTTACTTACATGGGCGCTTACATTTCATGGGCGTTTACTTAAATGGGCGGTTACATTTCATGGGCGTTTACATTCATGGGCGCTTACATTTAATGGGCGTTTACTTACATGGGCGATTACATTTCATGGGCGTTTGCTTACATGGGCGCTTACATTTAATGGGCGTTTACTTACATGGGCGGTTATATTTCATGGGAGTTTGCTTACATGGGCGACTACATTTAATGGGCGGTTACTTACATGAGCGCTTACTTACATGGGCGCTTACATTCCGTGAGCGCTTACTACATTGTCGCTTACAAGCTTACATTCCATGGTCGCATACCTACATGGGCGTTTAACTACATTGGCGTATTCTTTCTATCGCTTATTATAATTATGTTACTCTGAGTTGAAAGTTTCTATAAGAAGATAGTACCAAGCTCAAAGGGAGTATCGCGAACAGCCTTAAGCTTTCATGTGGCTCCCTTGTGCACTTGATTCCTGTTCCTTCATTTTATTAAACGCGCCTCAACTTGTTTGTAAATTCCAGTGTTTTTTTTAAACCGGTGTTTTCTAAATAATGGCGATTGTTTGTGAACCGTTAAGCGGTGGAGGTTGTGATATTTAAAGGGGGATGTTTAAACCACAATATGTGATATTTAAAGGGGAATGTTTAAACCACAATATGTGATATTTAAAGGGGGATGTTTAAACCACAATATGTGATATATAAAGGGAATGTTTAAACCACAATATGTGATATATAAAGGGGATGTTTAACCAACAATATGAGATATATAAAAGGGATGTTTAAACCACAATATGTGATATATAAAGGGGAATGTTTAAACCACAATATGTGATATTTAAAGGGGAATGTTTAAACCACAATATGTGATATATAAAGGGGATGTTTAAACCACAATATGTGATATATAAAGGGAATGTTTAAACCACAATATGTGATATATAAAGGGGATGTTTAACCAACAATATGAGATATATAAAAGGGATGTTTAAACCACAATATGTGATATATAAAGGGGATGTTTAAACCACAATATGTGATATATAAAAGGGATGTTTAAACCACAATATGTGATATATAAAGGGGGTGTTTAAGCCACAATATGTTATATATAAAGGGGATTTTTAAATCACAATATGTGATATATAAAGGGGATGTTTAAACCACAATATGTGATATATAAAGGGGGTATTTAAACCACAATATGTGCTATATAAAGGGGATGTTTAAACAACAATATGTGATATATAAAGGGGATGTTTAAACCACACTATTTGATATATAAAGGAGTGTGTTTAAGCCACAATATGAGATATATAAAGGGGGATGTTTAAACCACAATATGTGATATATAAAAGGGGGTGTACCACAATATGTGATATATAAAGGGGGATGTTTAAACTACAATATGTGATATATAAAGGGGGATGTTTAAACCACAATATGTGATATATAAAAGGGGGTGTACCACAATATGTGATATATAAAGTGGGATGTTTAAACCACAATATGTGATACATAAAAAGGATGTTTAAAACACAATATGTGATATATAAAAGGGGGTGTACCACAATATGTGATATATAAAAAGGATGTTTAAACCACAATACGTGATAAATAATATATTATATTACAAATGATACAATACTCCCCCGCTAGAGAGTAGTTAGAATTTTAAACGAAGGAAATTAATTGGTTTTTGTTTTACGCTAATTAGATATATATTTTGAAAAAAATAAGTAAATACCATTCAAACTGACCTGTCGTTTATACATTAAAGATGAATTGAAATATTTTAATTACTACTAAAATAAGTACTTTACTCATATTAGGGAAAGTAAAGGCGGCCGGGCAAAATGCTGACCACACCTTCCTTTCACATATCGAGGTCAAGAAACATATATACTCTACTTCATCTACCTAATTGATCTCCAAATCTAAAGATAATTCTTTACTTTTTAAAAAAAATAAGGTAAAGGCCTGCATATTATGTATAGTAGAATATGATCAGTTAGATCGAAAAAATTATTCGAGATAATTAACTTAGTTATAGGATAAAAACAAAAATACATTGCAAATATTATTTTCGCAAAACACTTATCGATTTGAGTTATTAGCGAATATCGATTCAACCAGTTCAGGTATTACCACCACCAACACTAAAGCACCACCAAGCTTTAAGCACCACCAGTAAAGGTCAAAAGCTGATAACTATTTTCCCTGACAGTATTTCAATAACTTTATTCAATGTTTCAATGCTATTATTTTGACTGGTACTTTAGCGTTGGTTTGTAAATCAATGAAGCTAAAGCGATACATTCAAATACGACTATTTCGTTAGGAAAATCCTTGTATTGAAATTGATGTTTACGTGATGGCGCTCATTGAATATAGTCAAATTGATAAACTCTACATTTTAATTAGTTGGCCTACTATCAACAGTTATACTGTAAGATATTTCAGAATTTGGGCTCGGATAATTCATTTTATTCACTTTTTTTTTTTCTTTCTTTTTTTTTTTTTTTTTTTTTCTTTTTTTTGCTTTCTAGTGTAAAAATAAACCGGGAGTGATCTCCCCTAAACTTTCTCGAATATTCTTATATAAAATAACAGGGGATGGGAACTCGGGCTATAGACATGATTTTTAATCCATTTTAAATACTTAAAGTTTTAAAAATAGAATAAAATCTCGTAGACAAAAGAATTGCACACCAAGTGAACGCGCAATGAAAAAGTGCATAATAGTGCGCAATATTATTAGTACTTTAAAAATTTACATTAGTTTTTTTGAGAAATTGGTAGTAGCGTAAATTACTACTTCCGGTCAACGGAAATTACTCAAAATTTAACAGAAGGTAGAGTATTAGATCTTTTACTTACATGTGAAATTTCATTTACGTATCTGAAATAGTACACAAGTTATAGGCTTTTGAAAAATTCAAAGTACAAAAAGTACCATTTCCGGTTATCGGAAATCGCTCAAAAGTTGATACGGATCTACGATTTTGATAAAATACTTATACATGAAATTTCATCAACCTAGCTGTAACGGTACTCAAGTTATCGTGTTTACACACGGACACACACACAGACACACACACAGACATACGGACAGAATTGCAAAGCCCAGATTTTCAGACTGCATTACGCATAAAACCTCTTAATTTTGATAAATCTGGATTGATAATTTTTGCCCGATTAAAATAAGTCCTCTATATATCGGATGTGATGAAGGACTGAGGTATAATACGGTGAAAATAGTTAAAATTTCAAGTGATTTTTGTGCACGATTACAATACTTTCTCTATACTTCGTATATAAGAGAAAGTAATATGTGAAAAGCCGTTCAAAAAATCTTAAAAATTTTTATTCACTGAGGAAATAATATATTTTTAGCTAACAGTAGAGTATTTCATCCTTTACAATTTTTTAAATTTTAAGTTATTAAACATTAGGATTGGATGGGTAAAAGTCTATAGAAAACTAACATGTATTTTATAAAATTATAACTCAATCTGCAATAACTGACAATATTTAATGAGTAAAAAGATAGAAAACTTACTTATATTTTTATGTTTACCTTATTTTGTATATTTAATAATCCATTGTTATTTTTTGTATTTATATTCACAAAGCGGTCTAGTAGCGAAGTTATGTCCCCTGAAAGTAACTATTATGACGTCAAATATTTCGAAAGGCTGTATAATAGACTGGTTGTGAATGGCTGATGATGTGTTTCCTCATGTGTTTAAATGATTGTGAGTGAATGGATGTAACTGATATTATGTATAATTATGTCGAAATGATTGTATTAGTATGATTTTAAGCGTGATGTGAATGTGCGTGTTTATTTACAAATGTGTAGTTGTGTGTCTGTGGGTATGTGTTTTATATATTTAATAATATACGTCTTATTACATATATATATATATATATATATATATATATATATATATATATATATATATTATATATATTTGCGTGTGTATATGTATATATGTGTGTGCGTGTGTGTCTGTATTTACGTGGTCAAACAAATAAGCGTTCGGATCTCGGTTCCGACTTGTGACTGTTGGACGTCCCTGAGCCCACCCAGCTTTGATGGGTACCTGACTTACGTTGGGGCAAGTAAAGTGGCTGGGCATAGTGCTGACCACACCATCACTCCATAAGCAGAGGTTAAGAAACATGAACTCTACTTCATCTTCTAAATAGCTCGCTAAGTCTAAAGAGGATTTTAAAAATATCATATGAGTAATTTATCGTTAAATTATAGTTTTTAAAGTTGGATTATATAATGTTTTTCTTTTTCTGTAAAGAAATAAAAAAAGCCGAATATATATATATATATATATATATATATATATATATATATATATATATATATATATATATATATATATATATATATATATATATATATATATATATATATATATATATATATATATATATATATATATATATATATATATATATATCTTAAAAGATTTACTCGAAAACCGGACGACTAGACCTTATCCTTGTATTCAACTTCAGATTTACCGTAAAGATTTGTGTAAGTAAATCACAATTGTATGTATGACTGCGACAGCTCATTGGGTGTCATAGTTGCCATTAGTTACAGCCACCTATAAAAGTTGACTACACATTAGTTCAATCTCATTCCGACATCTACTCTATTACTTATGTTATTTTACTTACAGAAAAAAAGAAAACTTCTGACGACTTTGAAAAAACATTAGCTATCGTCTAGAATATTATTTGTCCAGTTTATTATCTAGTTCTTCTAGATTAAAAAAAAGTTTTGGCTTATTTATAATCAACTTTATCAACAGTTATTTTGATCGATTGAGGCCGTCTTTACTGTTAATAAATAACGAATTTATTCAAATCGAGTTTTAGAATAAGAAGACTTAACGAATACCTCTGGATTATTTTAAAACACAAAAAAATAAATATTAATTATTTTCTTTTAAATTCTGGAGCTGCAACCTTTTTATTTTTAAAGTTATTTCTGTGCTATCTAGGATTAGATTTACGTGGGATTAACGTGGTTTAAGCCATTTGATTATCGGCCAGAGTTTTTGTGTGTGTCTAAATTAGGCCTCTGTGTGTAAATAACCTTCAAGCGAGCTGAAAATATTGATTAGAAAATGTCAAAATATTTGTTAAATATATTATATCCCCAGGCTAATAGCTGTATGATTTTAATTAAAATACAAGTTAATTAAACATTCTTGTATTTTGAAATATTAGTTATTTACGTGTTTTATTTCAACAGTGCAATAAAATTTTTAAAATTTTGTACTTGGAAATTATTTTTGGAAAAATAAATATTTAATGAAAATATTTTTTTGGCAATACAGTTAGCCATTTAAACTGTTTTCCTCAGATATTTTTTGGAAAAAAAAAATATTAATCACAATATTATTTGGCAAAGCAGTTAGTCATTTAAACATTTTTCATTGGATATTTCATTGGATATTATTCTTTGGAAAAATAAATATTTAATTCGAATGTTATTTGGCAATAAAGCTAACCATTTAAACATTTTTCATTGGATATTATTCTTTGGAGAAATAAATATTTAATTGGAAATACTATTTGGCAATACGGCTAGCCATTTAAACATTTGGCATGTCCGACAACTCAACCCTGGCAACCTTGGTAACCCAGGCAACCACAGAGGATCCCACCAAGGTCACCTTCATCGACGCCGTCATCGTTTTCCTCTGCATCAGCCTGTCCGTCCTCATCTCCGCGGTCAACGCGTTGACGATAGTCGTCATCCGTGCCACCCCCTCCCTCCGGACTCTAACCAACGCCTATGTCGTCAGCCTGGCAGCGGCGGATCTCATCGTGGGGATCTCCCTGACCCCCACGGGATTATTCTTCCTACCCCCGACCCGGTATTCTCTATTCTTCCGCTTCGTCAACCTCTGTCTTTTAATCAACGCCATCAATATCGGCATGGCTGGAACATCATTCGTCCACCTAGCCATGGTATCAATAGATCGATATTTATACATCTCCAAACCGTTTATCTACGAAAAATACATGACCGTCAACGTCGCTTTAGGATTTATCATCCTATGCTGGATAACCGGTGCAGTGTATGTTTTTCTACCGCAGATTTTCCACAACCCTTACGGTGCTGTACCAGTTTGCAGCCCAACAATTTTATTCCCAGAATGGTACATGTTCTACGGAGCCTGGGTTGCTTTTTTCCTATGCGCCGCTGTCATCTTCACCATGTGCTACCTCATCATCCGCACGGCCGTCAAACAACGCAACGCAATCCGGGCTACGGATACCACCGGAAATTCCAACACCACCGTCGGAATTTCCCGATCGACCATGAAAACTCTCAAATACTTCTTCACCGTGTTTGGGGTGTTCTTCGTGTGCATCACGCCGACTGTGCTGTGCATGGGGCTGGACTATTACATCCGGGTCCCGGCTTTCGTCTTCAACGCGTTCGCCATGTTGGCTCTCACAAACTCGGGAATGAACTTTATAATCCTGACAGTCCAAAACAAAGGGTTCAGGCGCTCCATGTTCAAGATGCTGAGCTGTTACGTGTGTTTTGATAGCTGGAAGGAGAATTTGAATAGTCTCTCCCCAACACACGTTTAGGTTATTTGTTTTTTTTTTTGTTTTTTTTTCAATAATTTTATTTTTTAAATTGTATTGAAAATTTATAATATACATGTTTATGGGATGGCGTGGTTGAATGGTAGAGCGTTTGATTGCAAGTCCGAAGGTCTCGAGTTCGAATCTCGGTTCGGATGTTTGACTGTATGACGTCTCTGAGTTCTCCCAGCTCTGATGGGTACCTGATATGTTGGGGAATTAATGACGGCTAGGTATAGTGCCAGTGTTTCTCTCAGAGTTTTTTTTCAGGAGGGCGAGGGGGCACTTGAAACTTTCGGGAGAGGGGGTGGGACCGACTTTTCTGGGGGGATGGTATGTACATTGTTAAAAGTATATATTTTCTGTGTAAACTCTATTTTGTCTGGAGGGGCGGTAGTCGTGCTTCGGGGGTGGGGTGGGGTGGGTGGGGGCGCCGCGAAGAGATGCCTAAAAGAAACTTCATAGCGCTGACCACAGCATCCCTTCAAATGCCGAGGTTAAGAAACATTAACTCTTCCCCATTTGCTCAATGTATCGCTAAGTGTAAAGAGGAATGTTTAAATTTTGTAATCCACATGTTTCATAGTTAATCTGAATTTTAAAATATAGTCTTTGAATGGTTATCTTAGAATAGAAATTAGAATTTAATAAAAAATATAAAAGCTATTTTCCCTATAACATTCCTTGTGTTAACGTTTATGCTCTGACTAGCAAGTTTATCATGTGGAATTCTTTAGTAAACTATTCGGTGTTTTAGAAGATAAAAGGTCTTTTAATCTCTTGAGTTACGATATGACTTTTACAACTAGTGTTATTCCATGCAATTCTTTTTTTCTGGGATTTAACTGTTTGATATATTCACCCCGTTATTTTTGAATTTGATATAGATGATGAAAATAAAATAATTAAAATCAAACGAACGTGTTGCTGTTTTGTTCAAATTAATTTGTGAGGGTTGATTTGGCAATGATTTAGCGTTAGTCTTCAGACAAGTCGCATTGTAAAATATATCAACTAAGACCATAAAATAAATGTTTATTATTTTATTATGACTGTTTATCATTTTAGAAACATGTGTGTCTTTGTTGTTGTATCTTTGATGCAACTTGTGTGAGAAAATGTTAATTGGATAATGTCTACATGGCAATGTACATTTATGGAATGACGTGGTCAAGTTGTAGAGCTCACCCACCTCCTCATCAGAAAGTTTCGAACTCAGTTACCAGTCAGGTTAGTAGCATGTGTGCACTAGAAGCTGTCTTGGCTACTGTCTAGAGTCGGATTAAATAAAGACAGTTGGGGATAGGGCTGATTTCACGATCCCTTTGTTTCTTAAAATCAAAAGATACTGACGTGCTCTACTTCAGCTACACTACTGATCGTTGAGTCTAGAACTTAACTTGTAATCCGCTTAAAATTTATGGGTATGTTGGTATTACCGAGGGGGATGGAGTGTTCTGGTAAAGCTCAAGGTTGCTAAACTGAAAACTCTCGAGTTCGAACCCTCGGGCAGATGAGGCTCGTTACCTGGGGACAGCCACTCTTCTAGGAGAGACAACTTCAAAATCAAACAACTGCTGCCTTGTAGTTTGTAATTGGTTGGACAAAGGCTATGGAAGCAAATCCATACAAAAAAGTAGGCTGAAATCGGAGTCAATGGCCTCAATGGCGCATAACCAGTTTACACGTATACTTAATTGTGTTGGGGATACCTTTCAACACTAAAATTAAGAACGAAGAAGAAGAAGAAAAAAAGAAACTGAGGTACTCTACTTCAGCTACACTACTGATCGTTGAGTCTAGAACTTAACTTGTAATCCGCTTTAAAAAATATGGGAATATTGGTATTACCGATATACGAAATAGGTGTGTTAGGTTATTGAAATCTTAGGCTTAATATTATGGTAAGAAATAAGGGTTAAAGTTATGGTTGGATTGAGGTAAGGTTTAGGATTAACGTCGACAATGGCAAGTCATATTTGTGTTTAGTAAACTTTAAGTAAACTAACATCCATTTTTAACACCGCCTTTACACTTGCGACTTATATACTACACATGTTTAGAAAAAACAACAGCATCTAAGTATATATGTTCCGTGAGAACAATGTTTTCATATAACCAAAACATGTTGCAAGATTTTGTCCCTAAACATGTATAGTATACATGTATAGTATACTTGTATAGTATACATGTATAGTTTACATGTATAGTATACATGTATAGTAAACATGTCGCAAATGTCAACACGGTGTGAGATCCTGATATTCCTGCTTTACAGGACACGGGTGTATCACATACCCATACATACAAATACAGGGAATTTATGAGTTTATTAAAAACTATGACTAGAAAAAAACCATACAATAACCATTACGGCTACACATACACAACTTTACAACACACATAGATCACAACGTGTAACTTAGCTTGATTGTTGTCGTTAACACAGATTGAGTATTGTTAAGGGTATGATGAAAACCAAATTAGTTAAAATGCTTATTTCTAAACCTAATGCTATCTTAGTCTAAATTTTTAGACTTAACTCTTTGAGTTTTAACTATATGCTAGATATGGTAGCTTTACTGTTACGTCCAGGTTTGTTTCCGATAAACAACAACGCTTCGTGACTACGTTCAGTACTTTTATTCCGTCTCAAATATATACATTCAAGAGTAGCCCTCGTCCTAATCGCTAGCAACTGACCGCTGACCTCCCACAATCGTTCACTCGCACTTCTATACCCGCATTCGACCTTGGGATAACAATAAATAAACACACCGTGGTTAACTACACAGTAGGGTGAACTCAACTCACACACGCACTCTCCCCTAAGTTCGAGACTATTCTAACCTCTTCTAATCTGACCTACAACCAGTGGCGTAGCGAGGTCGGGTGTCACCCGGTGCGGCACTTAATGGAGTCACCCCCCCCCCCCCCCCAGAGGCGTAGCGACCCTTCCCGGGGACAAACTTTCAAATTTCGATTTGCACTCCCCCCTCAAACTTTCGATTTGCACCCCATCCCTCAAGTTTTCGATTTGCACCCCCCCCAAACTTTCGATTCGCACCCCCCCTCAAGTTTTTTTCTATCTATTTTGCTATTTTTTTGCCTTGGTGTCACCCCCCTAAATGGTGTCACCCGGTGCGGTCCACACCCCCGCCCCCTCCCCCCCCCCCCTCGCTACGCCCCTGCCTACAACTGACCCGTAACAAGCCTTTTGGGTAATTTGTTATTCATCATCCGCCTATGTCCTTAATGTCTCCAAACACAGATTTAGTAAATTTAAAGTGTCAATCAGTACGACATTTGATTGACACAAACTCTTATTTTAACAACTTCCTACAATCAAGTTCCATCACGGGTCATTTATTTCGCTAAGAAACTCCGATGCAGTGTTTTAAATGACTCCTGAATCAATATTTCCACGACCCCCGGCTAATGCACTACTGCGCGTCGGGACATTGATTTTAAGAAGAGATTCTACTGTACACAAAAAGCAGATGAAGTAGAGATTTTGTTGGTTAATGTGACCAATGTATAGAGTTTGAACAGAAGCAACTCACTGACCAGCAGAATGACCACAGCTAATTACGGATTAGAAGATTGACCACAGCTAATAACGAATTAGCAGATTGACCACAGCTAATTACTGACCAGGAGATTGATTAGAGCTAATTACTGACCAATTATTGACCACAGCTAATTACTGACCAGCAGATTGACCACAGTTAATTACAGACCAGCAGATTGATTAGAGCTAATTACTGATCAGCAGATTGACTACAGCTAATTATTGACCAGCAGATTGACAACAGCTAATTACTGACCAACAGAATGGCCACAGCTAATTACTGACCGGCTGAATGGCCACAGCTAATTACTGACCAACAGAATGGCCACAGCTAATTACAGACCAGCAGTTGACAACAGCTAATTACTGACCAGCAGATTGATCACAGCTAATTACTGACCAGCCGATTGACCACAGCTAATTACTGACCAACATATTGACCACAGCTAATTACGGACCAGCAGAATGGCCACAGCTAATTACTGACCAGCAGATTGACCACAGCTAGATACTGACCAGCAGATTGACCACAGCTAATTACAGACCAGCAGAATGACCACAGCTAATTACAGACCAGCAGAATGGCCACAGCTAATTACGGACCAGCAGAATGACCACAGCTAATTACTGACCAGCAGAATGACCACAGCTATTTACTGACCAGCAGAATGACCACAGCTAATTACTGACCAGCAGGTTGACCACAGCTAATTACTGACCAGCAGAATGACCACAGCTATTTACTGACCAGCAGTTGACCACAGCTAATTACTGACCAGCAGAATGACCAAAGCTAATTACTGACCAGCAGAATGACCACAGCTAATTACTGACCAGCAGAATGACCACAGCTAATTACTGACCAGCAGAATGACCACAGCTAATTACAGGCCAGCAGAATGACCACAGCTAATTACTGACCAGCAGAATGACCACAGCTAATTACTGACCAGCAGATTGACCACAGCTAATTACTGGTAACACCTGGTTATTCTCAACTTATAAGGACCCAGGCTTTGGGCTTGGATTTCCAATGCGTAATCATCCGATGATTCGATGATCTAGCTAAATAATTTTTAAATAAATTTAGTAAAACAATGAATTCAACAGTAGTGGAATACAACGGAAACTAGTGTAAAATAAACCGGGAGTGTTCTCCCCTAAACTTTCTCGAATATTCTTATATAAAATAACAGGGGATGGAAACTCGGGCTATAAGGCTGGTAAGTATGTCTCCTGCCAGTTCTACGGCTCAATAAAACCTGCATGAGCCATAGAACTGGTTGGTGACCTACTTACAAGCCCTATAGACATGATTTTTAATCCATTTTAAATACTTAAAGTTTTAAAAATAGAATAAAATCTCGTAGACAAATTAATTGCACACCAAGTGAACGCAAATAAAAAAAGCGCATAATAGTGCGCAATATTATTAGTACTTTTAAAATTTACATTAGTTTTTTGAGAAATCGGAAGTAGCGTAAATTACTACTTCCAGTCAACGGAAATTACTCAAAATTTAACAGAAGGTAGAGAATTAGATCTTTTACTTACATGTGAAATTTCATTTATCTATCTGAAATAGTACTCAAGTTATAGGCTTTTAAAAAATTCAAAGTAGGAAAAGTACCACTTCCGGTTATCGGAAATCGCTCAAAAGTTGATACGGATCTACGATTTTGATAAAATACTTATATATGAAATTTCATCAACCTAGCTGTAACGGTACTCAAGTTATCGTGTTTACACACGGACAGACACACAGACACACACACACACAGACATACGGACAAGATTGCAAAATTATGTTTTTCCGTATCAGTGAGGTGTAAAACGTCGAGATTTGTAAAAATCTCGATTTTTTTTTTTTGCACGATTACAATACTTTCTCTATACTACGTATATACGAGAAAGTAAAAACATGTTGCTATATCTAGAGTATTTATATAACGGAAAAAACAAAACCAAAAAACCAAAAAACAAAGAAACAAACACATAAAGGAGAAGAACATTTTAGCATTAATTTAAACGACAGTCTAAAAATAGCATCAACGTGACATTTTAATTGACACAATCGAATCTGGCTGCAACTAATTAAAGAAGTAATTGCTTAAAATAAAACCTTAAGTTAATGCAACAACGCAGAAAACGCAGAACGAATTATTCTAAATTTAAAACTCTTTTGACGTGCAATTAAACATTAGAAGCAAACCTAGTGTGAATGTAGGCTATAGAAATAGTTACACAAATCAGTTTAATTTTTCACTGAATAGATACATATAGATGTCGTAACCTGTCCATTAAACTTATATAAAATCATAAATGTCTTAAATAATCAAATTTTTTAGGGTTAAAAAATAATGAGTAAACCATGTTCTATTAATGAAGGTACATGTAAGAAAGAAGTATTAATACTGTTAATCAGAATACATATTCAAAGGATAATGATAAAAACTGTAATACTAATGCTAGCTAACATGGCAAGGCAAAAAAAAAAAAAAAAAAAATAAAGAAAAAGAAAAAAAAAGTAATAATTTAAATTGAATTAAAAATTCATTAAAAAGTAAAGCTTAAAACGGCGTGGACTAGCTGTAGAGCGCTAGACGGCAAATCTGAAAGTCTCGAGTCCACCCACATCTGATGGGTACGTAACTCAAGTTTAGGTAATCAAAGGCGGCTTGACAAACAAAGTGCCGACCACGTTATTACATCATATGCCGGGGTCAAGAACCATATGAACTCTGCTTCATCTGTCCAATGGATCAGTCTGTCTAAAAGGAATCACCAACATACAACGCCTGAAAATCCATCTTTGAAATAATAAACTAGGGCTTAAAAATACCAAAGTACTGGAGTTTCTTTTAATCCACGTTCTTGTGGCTGAGAAAATCATCACACTGGTTGGGTCTTATTTTTTTATTTTTTTAGCTAATGCTTAGATAATGATTATATATATATATATATATATATATATATATATATATATATATATATATATATATATATATATATATATATATATATATATATATATATATATATATATGTGTGTGTGTGTGTGTAAACGTATATATATGTAAACGTATAAATATATATATATATATATATATATATATATATATATATATATATATATATATATATATATATATATATATAGGCATATTTGTGTATGTATTAAATTATAATGAAATTAGGTCAAATATATTTTACAAAATTATTTTCCCCTTCAAAAGACGTTGCTTACACATAATGTAATATTTGTACCTCTTCACCTAATATTATCTCATCTACTACAAAACAACCTTATCACCAGATCTTCAGTGCTGAAACTCGCATTAGTTTACCGTTGTTTTCTTATTAATTAGTACAATACATTTTTTGTTCATAATTAAAAATAAACCTTGTTAATTAGTGCAACATTTTTTTCAAAAAAATTATTATTCTTCAATTTCGTTCTTTTTTTAAATTTTCAATCTTTATAAAAGTGAATCACAGTGTTAATCATTGATTTTTCAGAAAACCTTTTAGATCGTATTGTGATAATATATTTTTTATGATAAATGCGGAAGGAATGTTGTGTTAGCTGGTTAGTTGGGGTTAAAAAGTAGTCCCGCACTTGCGCGGAGGATTACATTTTGAGAGATGAAGTAGATCCAACATCTTGTGAACAATGTTTCTGGAATTGTACATCCATGAAAATTTCTGTAGCTTTGATATCAACTGTGACTTTTTTCTCGTGAATAATAAGATAGAACTTAAGACAAAATTTTGTAATACGTTTTATATAATTTCGTCTAGTAGGCTACAGTATGTGTACATTTTTTTTTACAAAGTGAATGCAAGTTTAGATTGATAATCAGCAACGGTTAAAATAATTATTGTCTACCTTTAAAGTGTTCTCAATTGTTTCTGATGAGCATTTATCAGCTTCAGTTATTTATCAGAGTTATCGAACATTTTCATCTACTACATGTTGTTATAGTGGCGGTTCCGGCTAGGAACTGCCCCGGCCATATGATAGACCACAAACTACCTTGAAAGAAAGTTTGTTACATATCCTATCAAGCGTTATATTAGCAACGAATTCAATGTCGTACATCACTGTTATGTGAAGGATGTAGAATAATTTATCAAAGATTAAAATGACGTGAGTACTAACACACTTCACTTTAGAAATAATTCTGCAAATAATAGAAATAATTTTAGAAAAAATAACTGAGGTCAAATGGTGGTAAAGAAATTAAACTGTTATTGTGTTATAAAGAGTGATATTCATTTTCAAATTAAACAACCAGGGAACAATTCTCATTCATTGTAGTTTTTGTGATTGTATTGAAAAAGACTTTCCACAATATTTAAATTTTAATTGATTGTGAAAAATATACCAAAGAAATTGGTATTGATTAATCTTCTAAAGCTCAACTCAAGTAAAGCTTTAAGCCATTGTAGATTTGAAGTTTGTTTTTTATTAAAATTTCATTTGAACTATTGAGTTATTTTTATATTGGAATTAGACTAAGTATGTGAGATGTTTAAACATGAAGCACGCATTTGGTGAGCAGTCTGCAAGAGGGACGACAACTACAGAAATCTAGACATAAACGTTATATTTTTAAATAGATTCTTATACATAAACGTCATATTTTAAATAGATTCTTATACATAAACGTTATATTTTAAATAGATTCTTATAATTCTACAACGTTGCTATTTCTTGTTTGTTATTATAATTGATAGATTGAGCGACGACACTATACCAACAGGGATGGTGAGTCGCCTAGATGCAAGCAAGTATGAGTAACTCAACTTCAGGGGAAGTAACCGATCCTACCCAAATCACGTCAGGGGAAGTAACTAACCAGACCCAAGTCACGTGGGTGGATTGCGTCATCGCCTCCTTCTGCCTGCTCATCTCCCTCTTCATCTGCACGGTCAACACGCTGACCATCGTCACCATCAGCAGCACCCCGTCCCTACGGACCATCGCCAACACCTACGTGGTCAGCCTATCCGTGGCTGACCTTCTGGTTGGCCTTGAACTCATCCCGACGGCGCTTTACTTCATGCCCCCGACCCGCTACTCCATCTTCTTCCGGTTCATCCGAATCTGCATGATGCTCAACGGTTTGAATCTCGGGATCGCTGGAACTTCCGCTTTCCACATTACTTTTATATCCATAGACCGATACCTCTACATCGCTAAGCCGTATTTCTACCAAAAACACATCAATATTCATGTTTCCATAACCTTAATCACGACAGGATGGGTTATCGGACTTGGATATAGTTCCCTCCCGCAGTTTTTCCACAATCCCTACGGCGCTACCCCGACTTGCAGTCCTACTGTAAACTTCCCCGTTTGGTATCTTTTCTACGGCGCTCTGAGCGCCTATATCACGCTTGTCATCATCATCTTCACCATGTGCTACCTCATCATCAGAACAGCCATCAAACAGCGCAACGCAATTTGCGCGACAACATTCTCGCACTCCAACGAAGGAAACGCGGTGATCTCGCGAACGACGATGAAAAGCTTGAAGTACTTCTTCACCGTTTTCGGCGTTTTCTTTGTTTGCGTGACGCCGACGGTTTTGTGTATGGCTTTGGATTATTACGTCAGAGTCCCCAGTGTGGTGTATAACTGTCTGGTCATGCTGGCATTGAGTAACTCGGCCATGAACTTCGTCATACTCACCCTCCAGAACAGGCAGTTTCGATGTTCGCTGCTGAAGACGGTGCGATGTTTGTTGTGTTTCGATAGCTGGAGCGACCGGGTGATCTCTATTACACCCACGCACAACTAGATGGAAATACCTGGACTTTTATGTGACACACATACACGACTAGATGGAAATACATGGTCTTTTATGTGACACACATACACGACTAGATGGAAATACATGGTCTTTTATGTGACACATATACACGACTAGATGGAAATACATGGTCTTTTATGTGACACATACGACTAGATGGAAATACCTGGACTTTTATGTGTCACACACAACTAGATGGAAATACCTGGACTATTATGTGTCACACACAACTAGATGGAAATACCTGGACTATTATGTGTCACACACAACTAGATGGAAATACCTGGACTATTTATGTGACACACATGACTAGTTGGAAATACCTGGACTTTTATGTGACACACACAACTAGATGGAAATATCTGGACTTTTATGTGACACACATAACTATATGGAAATATCTGGTCTTTTATGTGAAACACACACAACTAGGTTGGAAAGACCTGGTTCTTCCTATGACCAGAGTCCACACATAGCTGGAAAGACCTAGTCTTCTACAAGACCAGCGGGAAGTTGCTGGAAAAACCTTGTGTTCCACACGACATTCACCAACAACTAGTTGGAAAGACCTGTTTTTTTTACGTGACACACACGCAATTGGTTGGAAAGACCTGCTCTTCTACATGACATCCAGGCAAAACTAGCGGGAGATTGCTGGAAAGACCGTAGGCTCTACATGACATCCACCCGCAATAAGTAGCAAAACCCTGGTCTTTGACGGAAAAACCTAATTTCCTGCATGCCATCTGTGCTTAAAACCAGTCCAAGATTGCTGTAAAAAACTTTGTTCTATACATAGACAAATACGAAACTAACTGACAGAACTTTATCATACAAAAAATCAGATTCCTCTATTGGTTGAAACAGCTAACGTGATTCAATTACTTATTAGTTGCTAGTTATTTATGTAAATGAACATCTGTGAGATCTAAAATTTAATTTGTGTATAAGCTGTAAATACATGTCTTCTTCTTCTTCGTTCTTTGCTGTAATATATAAGAGTTAAGTATTATCTGTAAACATGTTATGCGCTATATGGTCCCTTGACTCCCTTTCTGCTTTTCTTTCTGGATTTGCTTCCACAGCCTTTGTCCTCCCGCGATAAATCCTAGATGGGTTGCTGTCCCCAGCTAACAAGCCTAAATAGCCCGGGAATACATGTTTAAACAAAATAGATTATTCGTCAAGATTTTCCTTTGGGAAATGTGAACTCGGCAATTATTTACCATTAACGTTTCCATTACATTTAACTAATGCAAAAAAACACACAATTAAAAAGTAAATAAAAACACACTATTCACTACATTTGTCGATGTTTTTATTTAATACAAACTTCTCCGTTGGTAAACTGTAGGAGGTCAGAGAGAAAAGCTCAGACATACAGACATATAAACACGTAGACAAACATACCAACAAGAGGAAGACGATTACATGCATTAATGTATCACATAAAAAGTAAGGCAGTCAGATCAATATACAGTAAAAAATGTAAAAACTAGAAAATAGTTTAATAATGGAAAAATAAATGATTTTAATATTCCTTATTGTGATTATAAATATTATATTTATTTATTAAAAAATTAAAAAAAAAAACAATTTTTTCTTTACCAATAATCTAGTAAATTGTTGATTAGGCGATTTTTCAAATACCACTCTTTAAAACGATCACTTATTAAAAAATAACAATCTCAAAAAATAAAATAGTGTTGCTGCTTTGTTTACGAATATAAACTTTAGATTAAAATCTTTATATTTTGTTTAAGCCATTAAGTACAGCCTAAAATGCATTTAAAACAAAATTTCCTTACAGTTGTTAAAATAAAAACAACATTTTAAATAAAAGGGTATGTAATTAATTTTTTTTCCAAATTTTTGTGACGTCATTTCATGAACCCATTTCCCAGGAGATTACGTGATCTATACAGTTCTGTTGATTTTGTTGAGCTGAGTTCCAACAGTCTCGCTCATTGGTCAACACCAGGGGTCCAATCAGCGCCGCCCTTTAATTCCGGCAGCTGTGTAAGGCCGAGACCCATTGGCTGTAGCTATTTATAGAATGTCTGCTAGGGTTCCAGTCGGTGCCAGAAGTTCAGAAGGAGTGGGAGTCGAGGTCCACCTTGACCAGTCCAGTTGTGTCGGGTGGTGTTTCGAACCTAGGCCACAAGAAACATTGGTCAATTTGTCTTAACGATTAATGCTGATCTTAGATTTAATGTGTCGTTTTTTTTTTAATTTGTAAATTGGGTACGCGAAATTAAATTGAAAAATACGGAAGTTAAGAACTGAACGAGTAAAAGTGTTATTTAAACAAGTAAACGAATGAGAGATCTTTATGTGTATATACATTTTTAGAGTATAAGGTAATGGAGTTTTTTTTTTTTTTTAAACTCAATGATATGAAAAAAAACGTAAATTAAGGTGTATTGTTTACAGAGTTTCTTCCAGGTATCTCTTCGAGGGGGGGGGGGGGGGGCAGAGAAAGTCTACCGCCCCACCCCCGAACAAAATGGATTTTAAATATTGCTTTTAACAGTGTCCGCACCCCCCCCCCCCTCCTGGAGAAAAAAGTCTGGAAGAAACACTGATTGTTTAGTGATTATATTTTGTTTTTCATAACATAATTCTATCTCAAAATTAAAAAAAAAAAGCATAAATTTGATGTACGAATAATAATCTACTTGTTTTACAACAAATCTACTGGTCATATGGTCGGATGGTCATATGGTCGGATGGTCATATGTTCGGATGGTCATATGGTCGGATGGTCATGTGGTCGGATGGTCATGTGGTCGGATGGTTATATGGTCGGATGGTCATATGGTCGGATGGTCATATGGTCGGATGGTCATATGGTCGGATGGTCATATGGTCGGATGGTTATATGGTCGGATGGTTAGATGGTCGGATGGTTATATGGTCGGATGGTCATATGGTCGGATGGTCATATGTTCGGATGGTCATATGGTCGGATGGTCATGTGGTCGGATGGTCATGTGGTCGGATGGTTATATGTTCGGATGGTCATATGGTCATATGTTCGGATGGTCATATGGTCGGATGGTCATATGGTCGGATGGTCATATGGTCGGATGGTCATATGGTTCGATGGTCATATGGTCGGATGGTCATATGGTCGGATGGTCATATGTTCGGATAGTCATATGTTCGGATGGTCATATGTTCGGATGGTCATATGTTCGGATGGTCATATGGTCGGCTGGTCATATGTTCGGATGGTCATATGGTCGGATTGTCATATGTTCGGATGGTCATATGGTCGGATGGTCATATGTTCGGATGGTCATATGTTCGGATGGTCATATGGTCGGATGGTCATATGGTCGGATGGTCATATGGTCGGATGGGTCATTTATAGAAAGACAGGCTGCACTTACTTGTACTTGTTGATCTTGAGAAAGTTGACCACTGTTGGTTTGATCAGGTTCGAATCCTGCCCGTCTCCCGTGATGATGGTCACGTGACGGATGTGCTGGGCGCGGTTCCTGCGATATGCTGGGTGGGGGAGGGGGGGGGGGGGTCGGATGAGAGAACATCGTGTGTTAAATCTTACACGGCGTGTAAAGAGAGAAGGTGTGGATGTTAAATAGACCACCACGGCACACCTGTAAATTGAGTCTTTGGAACTTGGTGGACCCTGGGGTAGGTGAAGTAGAGTTCACCTGATTCTCTGACCTCGGCATATGAAGGGATAGTATTGACAGCTCTATCCTCTGTCGCCTTTACTATCACCAACGTTAGTCATTTACTCCATCAGAGCTGGGTGGACTCATGGACACTCTCTAGTCCCGTTCCCGAACCGAGAACGAAACTCGAGACTTTTGAGCTAGCAGCCAAACGCTCTACCATTCGACCACACCGTCCCAACTCTACACCAGCCCTGCCCTACACCAGCCCTGCCCTGCCCTCTAGCTGCCCATTAAGTACTCACCTTCCTCGTGCTCCTGAAGAAAGGAGTGCAGCACTTTCATCGCGCCGGTCACTGTATGTCCGTGAAGGTCAAGGCTATCTAGTGGACTAAAAGGTCACACAACATTAGGACTCGCTTAAGTCGTACGCTATTTTAAAAGAGTTTAAATAACTAACATACCCGACAAAACTCTTTTCCTTAAGGCATAAGCTTACACTCAGCGGCGTAGAGAGGGGGGGGGGGGGCGGGGGGTGCGGACCGCACCGGGTGACACCATTTAGGGGGGTGACACCAAGGCAAAAAATTGCAAAATATATAGAGAAAAACTTGAGGGGAGGGGGTGCAAATCGAAAGTCTGAAGGGGGGGGGGTGCAAATCAAAAGTTTGAGGGGGTAGGGGGGGTGCAAATCGAAAGTTTGAGGGGGGGGGGGGGTGCAAATCGAAAGTTTGAGGGGGGTGCAAATCGAAAGTCTGAAGGGGGGGGTGCAAATCAAAAGTTTGAGGGGGTAGGGGGGTGCAAATCGAAAGTTTGAGGGGGGGGGTGCAAATCGAAAGTTTGAGGGGGGGGGGGTGCAAATCGAAAACTTGAAAGTTTGTGCCCGGGTGACACCCGACCTCGCTACGCCACAGCTTACACTTATCCATAAACACATTGTAAAGATTTTTCAATATACCCTTAACTTGTGTGGCCGGATAATCTCCTTACGTATTGACAGGAAGTCTTTAATGTTAATCCTAATGCCGGAATATTTAATAGCTAGCTGTAAGACTGTAATGTTCGTATCTTAGGGGGGGGGGGGGGGGGGTGGGGACTGACCGATATATTCATAGCTAATCATAAGACTGTATAAATAGTGATACTTTTTTTTTCTCCTTCTTTGATCTTAACTATAATGTTGGAAGTGATCTCGTCCAACACAATTAAGCGTTACGTATCAACTTGTTTTCCGCCATATAGGCCGTTGACTCAGATTTCAGCCTGCTTTTTGGATTTGATCCATAGCCTTTGTCTAACCAAGAACAAACTACAAGGCAGCAGTTGTTTGATTTTGGAGTTGTCTCTCCTAGAAGAGTGGCTGTCCCCAGATAACGAGCCTCATCTGCCAGGGGGTTCGGGACTTACCGGTTTAGCAGTCATGAGCTCTACCCACCAGACCACACTGACCCCCATATATTGTTCGTATCTTGGGGCAAATCTCACCTGCTTAAAGGTAAGTAGCCGTTGGGGTGTGTGGAAATATTTCTAGGGGGTGGTGATGCACTGCGTTCATTCAGTTCGTGGTTTTTCTTCACCTGTTGGAGAAAAGAACAAAAGGACATTTTATAGTCGGTTAAAGTCGGTAGGACATTATACAGAATACAGGTTGAAGACAGTAGGGCTGAACAAAGATGAAACATAATACATTTAACACACTATAGTACTAGGGGCTAACCGGCTGTCTTAATTTCGGGGGTAACCGACACTCTTGACATTGGGGATAACCAGTACTTTTGACCTCGGGGGTAACCTAAACCTTAGCCATCGTTTCTAGTCACCCCATCTAGTCATTGGGAAATAACAGGCACCATAGTTTTCCATGCTACCCAGCACTCTAGCATACAGTAAACCCTAGCTAAACCCCACACCCCTGCCATCTAGCATACAGTAAACCCTAGCTAAACCCCACACCCCAGCACTCTAGCACACAGTAAACCCAAGCTAAACCCCACACCCCTGCACACAGTAAACCCTAGCTAAACCCGACATCCCAGCACTCTAGTACACAGTAAACCCTAGCTAAACCCCACACCCCTGCCATCTAGCATACAGTAAACCCTAGCTAAACCCCACACCCCAGCACTCTAGCACACAGTAAACCCAAGCTAAACCCCACACCCCTGCACACAGTAAACCCTAGCTAAACCCCACACCAAAGCACTCTAGCATACAGTAAACCCTAGCTAAACCCGACATCCCAGCACTCTAGCATACAGTAAACCCTAGCTAAACCCGACATCCCAGCACTCTAGCATACAGTAAACCCTAGCTAAACCCGACATCCCAGCACTCTAGTACACAGTAAACCCTAGCTAAACCCCACACCCCTGCCATCTAGCATACAGTAAACCCTAGCTAAACCCCACACCCCAGCACTCTAGCACACAGTAAACCCAAGCTAAACCCCACACCCCTGCACACAGTAAACCCTAGCTAAACCCCACACCAAAGCACTCTAGCATACAGTAAACCCTAGCTAAACCCGACATCCCAGCACTCTAGCATACAGTAAACCCTAGCTAAACCCGACATCCCAGCACTCTAGCATACAGTAAACCCTAGCTAAACCCGACATCCCAGCACTCTAGCATACAGTAAACCCTAGCTAAACCCGACATCCCAGCACTCTAGCATACAGTAAACCCTAGCTAAACCCCACACCCCTGCCATCTAGCATACAGTACACCCTAGCTAAACCCCACACCCCAGCACTCTAGCACACAGTAAACCCAAGCTAAACCCCACACCCCTGCACACAGTAAACCCTAGCTAAACCCGACATCCCAGCACTCTAGTACACAGTAAACCCTAGCTAAACCCCACACCCCTGCCATCTAGCATACAGTAAACCCTAGCTAAACCCCACACCCCAGCACTCTAGCACACAGTAAACCCAAGCTAAACCCCACACCCCTGCACACAGTAAACCCTAGCTAAACCCCACACCAAAGCACTCTAGCATACAGTAAACCCTAGCTAAACCCGACATCCCAGCACTCTAGCATACAGTAAACCCTAGCTAAACCCGACATCCCAGCACTCTAGCATACAGTAAACCCTAGCTAAACCCGACATCCCAGCACTCTAGCATACAGTAAACCCTAGCTAAACCCCACACCCCTGCCATCTAGCATACAGTAAACCCTAGCTAAACCCCACACCCCAGCACTCTAGCACACAGTAAACCCAAGCTAAACCCCACACCCCTGCACACAGTAAACCCTAGCTAAACCCGACATCCCAGCACTCTAGTACACAGTAAACCCTAGCTAAACCCCACACCCCTGCCATCTAGCATACAGTAAACCCTAGCTAAACCCCACACCCCAGCACTCTAGCACACAGTAAACCCAAGCTAAACCCCACACCCCTGCACACAGTAAACCCTAGCTAAACCCCACACCCCTGCACACAGTAAACCCTAGCTAAACCCCACACCAAAGCACTCTAGCACACAGTAAACCCTAGCTAAACCCCACACCCCTGCCATCTAGCATACAGTAAACCCTAGCTAAACCCCACACCCCAGCACTCTAGCACACAGTAAACCCAAGCTAAACCCCACACCCCTGCACACAGTAAACCCTAGCTAAACCCCACACCAAAGCACTCTAGCACACAGTAAACCCTAGCTAAACCCCACACCCCTGCCATCTAGCATAAGTAAACCCTAGCTAAACCCCACACCCCTGCCATCTAGCACACAGTAAACCCTAGCTAAACCCCACACCCCTGCCATCTCTACGCACATGCTAGACTCACAACATCCAAGGCCAAGACACAGATAAATAAAATACTTAAAAAAAAACTTTTTAAAAAACCACGTTTTTCTTGTGGACTAAAAAGTAGAAAATAACTATTTACATACATTTGATGACAAAAAACGTGGGTACGTTCACTATCAAATTTCCCGACCCATCTGCCCGACCCACGTTTTTTGTCATCAAATGTATGTAAATAGTTATTTTCTACTTTTTAGTCCACAAGAAAAACGTGGTTTTTTAAAAAGTTTTTTTTTAAGTATTTTATTTTCTCCTTTTTAGTCCGTTGCTACACATGAAAAACGTGGTTTTTAAAAAGTTTTTTATATAGTTTATTTTCTACTTTATCTAATCACTTGATTAAGTATGACTTGACTAAGTGTTTTTAAATACACGGACTAAAAAAATCTTGAGCGACCGATACGCTTTAAACAGAGAAAGGGTGTCATTTACGTTGCTGGCGTGGAGATCTACTCACGAATCACGTGATCAAATCTCCCATAAACAAACAAATAAACGCGAAGCTGAGTTAAGGAAAAACGTGTTTATGTGTATTTTAGCATGCCCAGCGTACCAACCGTGTCACCGTCAACAATGTGTTACCGTGTCCGTTCTCCTTTTTAGTCCGTTGCTACACATAAAAAACGTGGTTTTTTAAAAAGTTATTTTTAAGTATTTTATTTTCTCCTTTTTAGTCCGTTGCTACACATGAAAAACGTGGTTTTTAAAAAAAGTGTTTATAAATACACGGACTAAAAATCTTGAGCGACCAGGATTCGAACCTGGGTTGTCGCGGCCACAACGCGAAGTACTAACCACTATACGATCACGGCCAGCGCGCTCACATCGATTGGGGCCGAAGTAACTGTGTCAATAGGACTGCAGTCTTGTCGGTATCTTTAGAAATCATGTCCTCAATTTTATGGTCCTTGGGGCGTAATTAAATTAAGCTAATTACGGTCACTAATTGCTAGTTTTTATGATTGCATCTGAAATTGTTAGGCGAAAGTAGCATGCATGCCAAATTTCAGGTCTCTAGAGCAATCAGAAGTGGGCTAATTTTCGATGTCAATTTTAACAACAAACATCCAAACAAACAAACAAACGCGAAGCTGAGTTAAGAAAAACGTTTTAATAAAATAAACATTATATTGTATGCTTTGCCAGAACTCTCCTCATCCAAGTTTAATAAAACATTAGAGTGATGCATAGCATACAATAAAACATTAGAAAAATACTAAGCATACAGAAATGCTCTCATCACCCCACCCCTCCAAGTTTAATAAAACATTAGAGAAATGCATAGAGTATAAAAACAATTCAACCTCTCCTACTCCAAGATGAATAAAATACTATAAAGATGCACAACATAAAACAGTTATGTCAATTCCCCCACCCAACTCAAAGGTTAATAAAACATTAGATTAAATCAAAGCATACAAAACTAATGTCAACATTACGGTTAAAAAATTCGTTATGTAAGCATTCATTCTTTGATTAACACATTTTATTCTTTCATGGGCTCGTACGTCATAGAATGAAGATCCTTTCTATTCTGGGTTAAATCAATCGGAAATATTTCATCTAATTTTGTTGTTTCATGTGACACGATAGAGCTATGCAGATCTGCTAAGTTAAATTTAAAAAAAAAAAGGATGTTTATTTGTTCGCAAATGTAATGCTCTCAAAGACGTTTTAAACTTAAAAGAATCTTTAATGCTTCACATTTTTATGTGAATGCTCAGCAAAATTACTTTGAATTTTACGAAATATACTTTTTTTAAATTTTAAAAACAATCACTAACATTTTTTTATCTTTAAGAAAACAATTTTGTAAGAGTAGGTTCCTTCATAATAAAAGCGTATTTTTACTATTATGATATAGATTGTTTTGATACACATATTGTATATATATAATTACAAGTAGAAGTTGTGCTGATCTTTTAATTGATTGAATCTAATCGGGAACAAAATATCGATAACTGGTAGGTAAACAGCTAATGTTCACCACAAAAAGACTGGTAACAAAAACACGCAGTTTGCGGATGACAAATTGTTCCTACTAGTCAAAGATAGAACGACCCACTTTGTTCAAAACAAAATGACCCACCTTACTGAGGACAAAATAACCCACCTTATAACAAACAAAATGACCCATCATGTTGATTAAAAATAGACCCACCTTATTATGGACAAAATATTAACAAAATGACCCACTTGATGAAAAAAATGTCCCACCTTGATGAGAACATAATGACCCACTTTGCTATAGCAAAATGACCCACCTTGATGAAAACAAAATGACCCACTTTGCTAGAAAATAATGACCCACCTTCATGAGAACAAAATGACCCACTTTGCTATAGCAGAATGACCCACCTTGATGAAAACAAAATGACCCACCTTATTACAGACAAAATTACCCATATTGATGAGAACAAAATGACCCACTTTGCTAGAACAAAATGACCCACCTTATTACAAACAAAATGACCCACTTTAATGAGAACAAAATGACCCACGTTGATGAGAACTAAATGACCCATTTTGCTATTGCAAAATGACCCACCTTGATGAAAACAAAATGACCCACTTTGCTAGAAAATAATGACCCACCTTCTTGAGAACAAAATGACCCACTTTGCTATAGCTAAATGACCCACCTTGATGATAACAGAATGACCCACCTTATTACAAACAAAATGACCCACCTTGATGAAAATAAAATGACCCACAATGCTAGAACAAAATGACCCACCTTGTTAACGACGAAAAGACCGGTGACAACGGCCATGAAGAAAAACACGAGAACTGATCCTACGACCTTGTTGAAGACCAGGGTCAAGGCCAGAGACCCAAGGCCAAGTAGCGAGACTGTCTGGGGCTGGAGTGGCCTCAGTTTGAACACCGAGATGGCCAAGGTGATCAAAACACAGGCCACAATGGCCGTCACCTTGCTAGAATTTAAAAAAAAATAAACGATCAGAAATGTTTAACTTGGAAGGGAAGTAACTCCAATCGAAATCTATGTATAAACAAAAGGCCAAAATTTATACGCTACGATTCACAACTATGTGTGCTGATAAAAGGAAGTGCTTAATGTGGCCAACATTCTGTTGAGGTTTTCTCTATTAAGCTTCTATTTATAATCATGCATATTTTTAAAAGCACAGTGTTTATTTCCTCGACAGAATGTGAGACGATATAAGCATCTTGCGTTTTACCTCTATCGTTGGTAGAAAAAAATCACTACCTTAATACAAAAAAATGCAATCTACATCTAATAATACATTCAATTGAGTCCAGATTTACACGCCGTGGGCTTAACGTAACTATTGCAACCCCACCCCCACCCTCCCTCACCCCAATAAGAGGTTAGAGGCTGGGGAGCAAGAGAGGTTTTTTAATTCATTTAAAACAGCCGTAAATTTAATTATATACATGTTAATTACTGTTTTTAATTAACTAAGTATTCAGTACTTAAGCTTTTTTTTTAGTGGTAGAGCTTTCGACTGTTAGCCCGAAGATCTTGAGTTCGGATCTCGATTCGAACTCGTAACTGTAGGATGTCGCTGAGTCCACCCAGCTCTGATGGGTACCCGATTCAAATTACGGAAAGTAAAGGCGGCTGGGCATAGTGCTGGCCACACTATCCTTTCACATGCCGAGGTGAAAAAGAACATGTTAACTACTTCATCGGCTTTATGGATCTCTAAATCTGAAAGGGAACTTAACTTACATATGGATATTTGGTCATCATATTTTTGTTTTTTTAATCGCTCCATCCCCCTCACCACCCACCCCACCCTACCACCACTACCCACTAAACCATTGTTTATCTGAGCATGCGGGAAATCCGGCAGCATTTGCTCTAACTGAATTTATATAAGATGCGATGTATTCGCAGTTTTCTGTTTCTATCAGGTAAATAAGCCCCAGCTGTTGGTCGATCAATGGCCACTTTAGAAATGTCATTGTGATGCTGACAGAAGATGACGCGTTGTAGATGCGATGAGGTTTGATATAGACGGGAGAAGGTACGGAGGGATAATTGAATACTGGGTATAGCTTTACGGTTACACTAAATTTGTGTGTGGTAACACTAATATTGTGTGTGTGGTTACACTAACTTTGTGCGTATGGTTACACTACCATTGTGTGTGTGGTTACACTAACATTGTGTGTGTGGTTACACTAACATTGTGTGTGTGGTTACACTAACATTGTGTGTGTGGTTACACTAACATTGTGTGTGTGGTTACACTAAAGTTGTGTGTGTGGTTACACTAATATTGTGTGCGTATCGTTACACTAACATTGTGTGTGTGGTTACACTAACATTGTGTGTGTGGTTACACTAACATTGTGTGTGTGGTTACACTTAAGTTGTGTGTGTGGTTACACTAACATTGTGTGTGTGGTTACACTAATATCGTGTGTGTGGTTACACTAACATTGTGTGTGTGGTTACACTAACATTGTGTGTGTGGTTACACTAACATTGTGTGTGTGGTTACACTAACATTGTGTGTGTGGTTACACTAACATTGTGTGTGTGGTTACACTAACATTGTGTGTGTGGTTACACTAACATTGTGTGTGTGGTTACACTAACATTGTGTGTGTGGTTACACTAACATTGTGTGTGTGGTTACACTAACATTGTGTGTGTGGTTACACTAACATTGTGTGTGTGGTTACACTAACATTGTGTGTGTGGTTACACTACCATTGTGTGTGTGGTTACACTAACATTGTGTGTGTGGTTACACTAACATTGTGTGTGTGGTTACACTAACATTGTGTGTGTGGTTACACTAACATTGTGTGTGTGGTTACACTAACATTGTGTGTGTGGTTACACTAACATTGTGTGTGTGGTTACACTAACTTTGTGTGTGTGGTTACACTAACATTGTGTGTGTGTGGTTACACTAACATTGTGTGTGGTTACACTAACATTGTGTGTGGTTACACTAACATTGTGTGTGTGTGGTTACACTAACATTGTGTGTGTGGTTACACTATCATTGTGTGTGTGGTTACACTAAAGTTGTGTGTGTGGTTACACTATCATTGTGTGTGTGGTTACACTATCATTGTGTGTGTGGTTACACTAACATTGTGTGTGTGGTTACACTAACATTGTGTGTGTGGTTACACTAACATTGTGTGTGTGGTTACACTAACATTGTGTGTGTGTGTGGTTACACTAAAGTTGTGTGTGTGGTTACACTAACATTGTGTGTGTGGTTACACTAACATTGTGTGTGTGGTTACACTAACATTGTGTGTGTGGTTACACTAACATTGTGTGTGGTTACACTAAAGTTGTGTGCGTGTGGTTACACTAACATTGTGTGTGTGGTTACACTAATATTGTGTGTGTGGTTACACTAACATTGTGTGTGTGGTTACACTAACATTGTGTGTGTGGTAACACTAACATTGTGTGTGTGGTTACACTAACATTGTGTGTGTGGTTACACTAAAGTTGTGTGTGTGGTTACACTAACTGTGTGTGTGGTTACACTAACATTGTGTGTGTGGTTACACTAACATTGTGTGTGTGGTTACACTAACATTGTGTGTGTGGTTACACTAAAGTTGTGTGTGTGGTTACACTAACTGTGTGTGTGGTTACACTAAAGTTGTGTGTGTGGTTACACTAACATTGTGCGTGTGGTTACACTAAAGTTGTGTGTGTGGTTACACTAATATCGTGTGTGTGGTTACACTAACATTGTGTGTGTGGTTACACTAACATTGTGTGTGTGGTTACACTAACATTGTGTGTGTGGTTACACTAACATTGTGTGTGTGGTTACACTACCATTGTGTGTGTGGTTACACTAAAGTTGTGTGTGTGGTTACACTACCATTGTGTGTGTGGTTACACTACCATTGTGTGTGTGGTTACACTAAAGTTGTGTGTGTGGTTACACTAACATTGTGTGTGTGGTTACACTAAAGTTGTGTGTGTGGTTACACTAAAGTTGTGTGTGTGGTTACACTAAAGTTGTGTGTGTGGTTACACTAAAGTTGTGTGTGTGGTTACACTAAAGTTGTGTGTGTGGTTACACTAAAGTTGTGTGTGTGGTTACACTAACTTTGTGTGTGTGGTTACACTAACATTGTGTGTGTGGTTACACTAACATTGTGTGTGTGGTTACACTAACATTGTGTGTGTGGTTACACTAACATTGTGTGTGTGGTTTCACTAACATTGTGTGTGTGGTTACACTAACATTGTGTGTGTGGTTACACTAACATTGTGTGTGTGGTTACACTAACATTGTGTGTGTGGTTTCACTAACATTGTGTGTGTGGTTACACTAACATTGTGTGTGTGGTTACACTAGCATTGTGTGTGGTTACACTAACTTTGTGTGCGTATGGTTACACTACCATTGTGTGTATGGTTACACTACCATTGTGTGTGTGGTTATACTAACTTTGTGTGCGTATGGTTACACTACCATTGTGTGTATGGTTACACTACCATTGTGTGTGTGGTTACACTAACATTGTGTGTGTGGTTACACTAACATTGTGTGTGTGGTTACACTAATATTGTGTGTGTGGTTACACTAACATTGCGTGTGGTTACACTAAAGTTGTGTGTGTGGTTACACTAACATTGTGTGTGTGGTTACACTAACATTGTGCGTGTGTGTGGTTACACTAACTTTGTGTGTGTGGTTACACTAACATTGTGTGTGGTTACACTAATATTGTGTGTGTGGTTACACTAACATTGTGTGTGTGGTTACACTAACATTGTGTGTGTGGTTACACTAATATTGTGTGTGTGGTTACACTAACATTGTGTGTATGGTTACACTAACATTGTGTGTGTGGTTACACTAACATTGTGTGTGTGGTTACACTAACATTGTGTGTGTGGTTACACTAACATTGTGTGTGTGGTTACACTAACATTGTGCATGTGGTTACACTAATATTGTGTGTGTGGTTACACTAACATTGTACGTATGGTTACACTAACATTGTACGTATGGTTACACTAACATTGTACGTGTGGTTACACTAACATTTGGCGTATGTCACACATTGTGTGTGTGGTTACACTAACATTGTGTGTGTAAATTTGAAGTGAAGGCTGATTATTTTATGCGTTATGTATTCAGTACATTGGTTGAGGACATATGTTCTGCATATGTATTAAACGGATATTTAGAACATGTGTTTAGCGCATGTTTTAGAACATGGGTTTACCTCACGTGCTTAGCTCATGTGTTTAGCTCATTAGTTTAGCTCATGTATTTGGGCAAAAGTTTCAGCAATGCATTGAGCACATGATTTTGTACATTTGTTTAAAATATGTGTTTCTAATATGTGTTTGTAACATATGCTTATCATATGAATTTAGTGCTGATGTTTAAAATATGTGTTTAGAACACGTGTTCAACACGTGAGTTTAGCACATATGTGAGCTTGTGTTTAGCATTTCTGTTCAGCTAACTTTTGTATAGCATATAGAGTTAGAGTATTTGTTAGTTTTAGCCCAAGTGTTAAGCAGTTGAGATAAATACGTGTGTTTAGAATATGTGTTTAACGCATGTGTTTAGCTCATGTGTTAGGCACAGCTCCAGAAAGTAAAATCTTTTAAATGGCTGTAAGACTTTTGTTTTCGTATTGATGATAATCTCTTTGTTGAGCTTAAGGTACAGCATTGGACGAGGTTAAGACGCTTGTCTGGTGGAGCTTAAGATTCTTGTGTGGTGGAGCTTACGACGCTTGTTTTGTGGAGTGTAAGATACATGTCTTGAGGAGCTTACAACGCTTGTCTGGTGGAGCTTAAGACGCTTGTTTTGTGGAGTGTAAGATACATGTCTTGAGGAGCTTACAACGCTTGTCTGGTGGAGCTTAAGACGCTTGTTTTGTGGAGTGTAAGATACATGTCTTGCGGAGCTTACAACGCTTGTCTGGTGGAGCTTAAGACACGAGTCCGATAGAGCTTTCGACACGTGTCTGATGGAGCCTAAGACAAGTCTCTTGTGGAGCTTAAAATCTGGGGGATCTTAAGACTCGTATTTTGTGGATCTTAAGATACATGTCTTGTGGAGCTTAATATGCATATGTAGTAAAGCTTAAGACACATGTACGGAGGAGCTTAAAACACATGTTTAATGGAGCTTAAGGTGTGAATCTGGTGTAGCTTAAAACACGTGTCTGATGAAACTTAAGACGCGTATTTTGTGGAGCTTAAGATACGTGTCTTTTGGAGCTTAAGACGCATGGCTAATAAAGCTTAAGACACATGTACGGAAAAGCTTAAAACACATGTCTAATGGTGTGAGTCTGGTGGAGCTTAAGACACGTGCATGGTTGGGCTTAAGACACACACGCGGTAAATTCAGTCCTACACGGGTCAAGACCTGCAATGCACTACGAAATCTCCTATAGATGACTCATGTCCTACTCGCATCCTAAACATTAACACCAATGCCCCTATAAACACATTAACACCAATGCCCCTATAAACACATGACACCAATGCCCCTATAAACACATTAGCACCAATTCCCCTATAAACACATGACACCAATGCCCCTATAAACACATTAGCACCAATGCCCCTATAAACACATTAGCACCAATGCCCCTATAAACACATGACACCAATGCCCCTATAAACACATGCCACCAATGCCCCTATAAACACATGACACCAATGCACCTATAAACACATGTCACCAATGCTTATATAAACACATTAGCACCAATGCCCCTATAAACACATGTCACCAATGCACCTATAAACACATGTCACCAATGCTTATATAAACACATTAGCACCAATGCCCCTATAAACACATGTCACCAATGCACCTATAAACACATGTCACCAATGCTTATATAAACACATGACACCAATGCCCCTATAAACACATGTCACCAATGCCCCTATAAACACATGTCACCAATGCACCTATAAACACATGTCACCAATGCTTATATAAACACATGACACCAATGCCCCTATAAACACATTAGCAACAATGCCCCTATAAACACATGTCACCAATGCACCTATAAACACATGTCACCAATGCCCCTATAAACACATGACACCAATGCCCCTATAAACACATGTCACCAATGCACCTATAAACACATGTCACCAATGCCCCTATAAACACATGTCACCAATGCACCTATAAACACATGTCACCAATGCTTATATAAACACATGTCACCAATGCCCCTATAAACACATGTCACCAATGCCCCTATAAACACATGTCACCAATGCACCTATAAACACATGTCACCAATGCTTATATAAACACATGTCACCAATGCCCCTATAAACACATGACACCAATGCCCCTATAAACACATGTCACCAATGCACCTATAAACACATGTCACCAATGCCCCTATAAACACATGTCACCAATGCACCTATAAACACATGTCACCAATGCTTATATAAACACATGTCACCAATGCCCCTATAAACACATGTCACCAATGCCCCTATAAACACATGTCACCAATGCCCCTATAAACACATGTCACCAATGCTTATATAAACACCTTAGCACCAATGCCCCTATAAACACATGTCACCAATGCACCTATAAACACATGTCACCAATGCTTATATAAACACATGTCACCAATGCCCCTATAAACACATGACACCAATGCCCCTATAAACACATTAGCAACAATGCCCCTATAAACACATGTCACCAATGCACCTATAAACACATGTCACCAATGCTTATATAAACACATGTCACCAATGCCCCTATAAACACATGTCACCAATGCCCCTATAAACACATGTCACCAATGCACCTATAAACACATGTCACCAATGCCCCTATAAACACATGTCACCAATGCACCTATAAACACATGTCACCAATGCTTATATAAACACATTAGCACCAATGCCCCTATAAACACATGTCACCAATGCTTATATAAACACATTAGCACCAATGCACCTATAAACACATGTCACCAATGCCCCTATAAACACATGTCACCAATGCCCCTATAAACACATGTCACCAATGCACCTATAAACACATGTCACCAATGCCCCTATAAACACATTAGCACCAATGCCCCTATAAACACATGACACCAATGCCCCTATAAACACATGTCACCAATGCCCCTATAAACACATGTCACCAATGCCCCTATAAACACATGCCACCAATGCCCCTATAAACACATGACACCAATGCACCTATAAATACATGACACCAATGAACCTATAAACACATGACACCAATGCACCTATAAACACATGTCACCAATGCCCCTATAAACACATGACACCAATGCCCCTATAAACACATGACACCAATGCACCTATAAACACATGACACCAATGCCCCTATAAACACATGCCACCAATGCCCCTATAAACACATGACACCAATGCACCTATAAACACATGCCACCAATGCCCCTATAAACACATGACACCAATGCACCTATAAATACATGACACCAATGAACCTATAAACACATGACACCAATGCACCTATAAACACATGTCACCAATGCCCCTATAAACACATGACACCAATGCCCCTATAAACACATGTCACCAATGCCCCTATAAACACATGACACCAATGCCCCTATAAACACATGACACCAATGCCCCTATAAACACATACTACACTGATCAAATGAGTCACAATGGCCTGTTTCCGTCCCTTCATTGAATGTAATCAATAGACCCCCTGTCGTTTATGAGGCCATACAACCCAGTCATGCAACATTGATCAGATCGATGACACTTCTGCACGCTGCACATTTGACTCATAGGTTCTTTTTTGTTTAACACAATCTGATTTCTTTCGCAGGAATTATATTAAAAATGTGTTCCCTTCTTTTTTGTGTTTCGTCTTTTATTTCTCGATATTTGTCTTATTTCTAATAACTGTAATATCACCTCACCCTCCTTCTCAAAAAAAAAAAAATTTAAAAAATCTTGTTATAATAACAAAAAAGAATTCTCTGATTTTTTTCATAAACAACGACAAAAACTTTTAGTTTATTTAAAACAAGCTCATATTTCTTGAATGATTAAGTGTATAAGTATCATTTTTATAATCAAAGAACACAGTTGCAATTTTCAAAATGCTATTCAAGTTTTCAACTGCAGTTTTTAACGATATGTAGTATTATAAAAATTTTAAAAATCTTTTAAAATTCCTTCTTCATTATGACGGAAGTGTCACCTTGACATACATCACCAAGACACACATGTCACCATGACACACATGTCACCATGACACACATGTCACCATGACACACATGTCACCATGACACACATGTCACCATGACACACATGTCACCATGTCACCATGACACACATGTCACCATGACACACGTCACCATGACACATGTCACCATGACACACATGTCACCATGTCACCATGACACATGTCACCATGACACACATGTCACCATGTCACCATGACACACATGTCACCATTACACACACGTCACCATGACACACATGTCACCATGACACCTACGTCACTTAAGACACATGAACACATGTCACCATGACACACACGTCACCATGACATACCTAAGACTACAACAAACACGCACACAACAACCTACATTCTCATAGACTCACCCGAAAATGGCGGGAACTGTGACGGAAATGACGAAAACAACAACTCTCTCCGCCGGGAGGTCGCAGTCAGCAAACGTAACCACCGCCGCAACGACAACAACAATGAAAGCGAAAGTAGTTGTAGGGTCGTACAGCATGGAGGCGGTGATGATGACGTGCATCAGAAGGAGCAGGATGGGTTCTGGGTCAATCTGGGGAGAAAGTTGACAAATATAAACTTCCGGTGTGGGAGATGAACTACGGAAGTCTTGAACTATAAACAAGCGTTACTCTAAAGTTGACAAATATCAACTTCCGGTGTGGGAGATGAACTACGGAAGTCTAGCATTATATACAAGCGTTACTCTAAAGTTGGCAGAACAGATGCAATATTGCTTGTGTTTAGTATCGCTACTCTAAGCCTATTGTCAATAACCTCAGAAATAAGCCTATTTAATTAAAATCCTATCCTTAAGAAATATATACATTTTAAAATGTATATTATTATAGCATATATATATATATACATATATATAGCATATATATATATATATCATATATATAGCATATATATATAAAGCGTATATATAATATTATATATATATATTATATATATAAATGATATAAATGACCATCTTTACAAATATACAAGTAAACAAATATAGCGTGCATTGACCCTATATAGACATATATACATATATATAAATATATTTAAATATATATATATATATATATATATATATATATATATATATATATATATATATATATATATAAAGCGTATCTATAATATTATATATATATATATATATATGTATATATATATATATATATATGTATATATATATATATATATATATATATATACAATATATAAATGATATAAATGGACATCTTTACAAATATACAAGTAATCAAATATAGCATGCATAGACCCTATATAGACATATATACATATATATATATATATATATATATATATATATATATATATATATATATATATATATATATATATATATATATATATATATATAAATATATAAATATATATATATATATATATATATATATATATATATATATATATATATATATATATATATATATATATATATATAGACAATTATACAAATATACAAGTAAACAAATATAACTTACTACAAAAGGGTATATTTATAGTACAATCTAAGCAGATAACAAAAGCTAGTTAATATAAAGATTGTAAAACAAAGAAAGACAACCTTATAAATCTTGATAAGAATGGCCGACAGGGAGACAACCACGGCAAACGCAATAGTTGTGTTGAAAACCAGGGCCACACCTATCATCAATAGGCAGGTGAGGCAGAGAGCGAATTTCTTCACCCCTGGGGCGAACGGTCGAACTGTGTCGAACCACATTTCGAGCCTTCTTGGGTCCTGTCTCTCAGTAAATCTTCTCTCCGATCTCTATTCTTGGAATTTTCTTTCAGCGGAATTTACGAAACGAAATTGAAGATAATTCAAGAATAATCTCCCTTTAGTAGTCTCCCTTAGTTTTGAAATTATCCAATAAAGTGAAATTAAATTTCCTTTATTTATTTTTCACTCGATTTACAAGTTCACTATTGCGTAAAGTTCTTTAAAGAAAAAAAATACACATTTAATTTCCACGTAAACATTTTCTACACTATATATTTAGATGAAAACTACATATTATAACGCACATGATTTGTAAAGAAGAAGATTGATGAAAAACTCCATGGGTACACCACAATAAAACAACTTATCTTTTTTAAAAACTGTTGTCACTGTGTTACAATGAAAGCTGAACTTGGCCCTAACGGTATAAAAACTACAAACCAGCCTATTGTTTTTAATGTTAAAAACCGACTTACAATAACAAAAATGTACACTGAATATGGACTATATCTAAGCCAACAAAACTAGCAACTGGTATAAAATTCCAGTATCATAACCTTTAAAATATCAGTCAAAACACTGCACATCACATTTCGATCCAATAGATATATTATATTGTTTTGCCAATTGAATGTTATAAATGACGCAACATATTACGAGTGAATAAACTAACTAAACTCTATTATGAGTACACTTATGCAAATCTCACAACCTCTTGAATGGCTATATGTACATCAAACAGGTACTATAACTAAAACCACAGATTGTCGTACCCTTAAAGTTACTTAAAGTTACATTATATCAATAGCCATTAAACTGTGTTCGATCGAACCCAAAGGTTTCGATGAGTCAGTCTCAAGAGTTCAACTATAGTCAAAACATACCCGACAAAAAACAATACTCCTAATCCTATAGATCGAATACCAATGACAATACCAAATTTACCTAATCATAAAACTACCTGGTGTCATGAGAACCTACAGGTAACTTACTACTGGGGTAATCACAAAAAGGGTTACCTATAATACCATCATGCTAGGGAAATAAATTAATGCTTCTGTCGACTAAAAGATGTGGTGTGTTTACGTTTATGGTTCCAAAATCTATAGCGATGACTGACTGACACACTACCTAGCCGCTTATATTATAGATATATTATTAATATATATTAATATATATATATATACATATATATATATATATATATATATATATATATATATATATATATATATATATATATATATATATATATATATATATATGGATAGCGCCGGGACAACTAGTACATTGAGAGCATTGGGACGCCCTTGGGATGAGTACCAGCGAACACCTACAAGATCGGATTATCCTCATTAAGTCCAGATTTAATTAAAGTTGGGGTTATTTGACCTTGGCCTATTTGGAACTTCTGGATTAGAAAACGAAAACTACAAGACATGGCACGCCTTCAGTAAGTTTAGAACTAATAATTCTGGAATTATTTGACCTTGACCTATCAGGTACTATAGCACCAGGGAAAAAATAGCTAAAAGACGGGACTGTTCTTCAGTATAACAAGGATTTACAATGCTGGAACTATCTTAACTTTCTGTGCCCTCAGGCTATAATACTTAGTTTTTTATTTTTTTTATTTTGGAATTTTTCATTGAAAAAATCTGGCCACTCGCCCACGGCCCTGTGTAAATCTGTATAATTAGCAAATTAGATTTAATTAACTCACAGATTTATCGATTTTTACTCCTCACGCAAAGGTTTCCTTAACAGTTCGATAATTTAGAGGCGTAGCTCAGATATTCAAACTAACGCGTTTTACAGTACTAAAACAGGCTTTCAATCGATGTAATATATCAAATGGGATTTTGTAGGCTTATATAAATACTAACTAGGAAATTATGTACAAAATAATTACTAACTTTAAAATATGTTCTAATCAAATTAGCACTACTGATAGTAAAAGTATAGAATCTTCAATTAACCGGCACATTTAAAAATCTGAGTCAATATGGATTGGTGTTTCCTATACTTATGTAAACAGTCAATCAAAATTATTAGTGACTATTTTTATTCAATAAAATAACAATTACTTATGGAAAAATGCACTCTATGTATTAAAGAAACAGTATTTTCAAATTACAACCGAGGATATAATTCACTCAATTAGCAACTGCCGAAGAAAAAAAATCTCAAAATTCAACTGTCTTAAGGAAATAATTCACTCAAATTACAGCTGGGTTAAGGAAATAATCACTCAATTACCAACGGCTAAAGGAAAAACTTCACTCAAATCACAACTGTCTTAAGGAAATAATCACTCAATTACCAACGGCTAAAGGAAATAATTCACTCAAATCACAACTGTCTTAAGGAAATAATCACTCAATTACCAACGGTTAAAGGAAAATAACACACTCAAAATTACAATTGTCTAATAAAATAATTCAATAGAAAGACCACGGACTTGAAACATTGACCATAAATTCAAATCACCACTATCCACATCAATTATTCAATCAATCACATTGAACATAGTACAACACCGTCCCTGAATTCACTGCATTGGAAACAATCATTCAAACAGCTCTGTTAAATAAACTATAATCTACGCAAAAGTATCGAAGCATTGTTTTAATTTCTTTTCTAATCGTGCTTTTAATAACTGATAAAAAAAAACACACGTAAGGATCAATCACTTTACACATGTCAACAACACATAGACACAACACAGGTATCCATATCACACAGAGGTGTGCTCAACCTTTCAACACGAACACATCCCTTTTCCGCCGTTTCATAGTGTGTGAACACGAATCTATATCTTCAGTGACACAAACACTGCCGCGTGTAGAAACACAACACACATAAAAACACAGGGATGTTCCCAACATACAGGTACCCAACCACATACGACCAGTTTAGTTTTACTACTGAAAACATACACCATGTGTGTATGGAAATTTTAAAAAATTTAAAGTTTATTTGCATAATGGCTTGAATCGATTCCCACCTAGGTCAACTCATTGATTTACACGTGCAGACCTTTGTCACGCACGTGAGGGGGGCTATTTGTAACCACCAGCCGTATGACTACACTGCAATAAGCAGAATGTAAGAGATTCTATAAATAGACCGCAACATGTTGTCTTTTTGTATTTATGTCTTGCTCTTGCCGTTCCTCCAGCTGTTGTGTGTATGCGTGTGTACGTCAGCGTGTGGGTATGTCTGTGTGTACGTGTATGTGAGTACATCCGATCGATTTGCGGCAGGATTTGCATTAAAAAGCACATTCGTGTGATGTGTGAAATTAATTCAACTTTATCAGTGTACAGCTGTTTTGTTTTTAAACTAACGCTTATCAGTACTAGCGGCAACATAGTGTTTACCAAATACATCGGATTTGTTCCTTTTGTTTTATAGAGAGACTGAAACAACAAACTAGTGCATACAGTGGCGTAGCGAGGTCGGGTGTCATCCGGTGCGGCACTTAATGGTGTCACCCCCCAGAGGCGTAGCGACCCTTCCCGGGGACAAACTTTCAAATTTTTGATTTGCACACCCCCCCCCCTCAAACTTTCGATTTGCACCCTACTCAAGTTTTTGATATGCACCCCCCCCCCCTCAAACTTTCGATTTGCACCCTCCCTCAAGTTTTTCTCTATATATTCTGCTATTTTTTGCCTTGGTGTCACCCCCCCCTAAATGGTGTAACCCGGTGCGGTCCCCCCCCCCTCGCTACGCCTCTGAGTGGATGTTAATGACTGGAAAGTCTAATGTCAATCGATCAGATAGAATTATGAAATCACTGGCCCTTATGTCTATCGTGAAGGTAAAGGTTCAGAGAACTGGAGATCTCACATACCGAGAATAAACATTACATCATTCTTCTTTTTCTTCTTCGTTCTTAGTTTTAGTGTAGGAAGGGATCCCTTCCAACATAATTAAGTATGCGTGTCAACCAGTTATGCGCCATTGAGGCCATTGACTCAGATTTCAGCCTGCTTTTCTTTTTGGATTTGCTTCCATAGCCTTTGTCCAACTAAGAACAAACTACAATGCAGCAGTTGTTTGATTTGGGAGTTGTCTCTCCTAGAAGAGTGGCTGTCCCCAGCTAACGGGCCTCATCTGCCCGAGGGTTCGAACTCTAGACTTTTCGGTTTAGCAAACATGAGCTTTACCGACTCGACCACGTCAACCCCCACACCATTCTATAATTGAGTGCATTGTAAGTCGGCCCTCACAATACTTCACGCACTAAGTAGTACTATCACAATCCTATATTGAACTTCTACCTTAGAAATCCCACAATTGAAGCCCTACCCTCATCTTCAAATCCCACCGTCCATGGTACCCCCCCCTCCCCCTCAATGCCTTACCATCATCCTTCAAGTCACTCCCTAGAATCTTATCCCCACTGTCCTATCACCAACGTTATATCCCTAGTCTTAGAATACTGAACAAAACTGATAAAGGCATGCCTCAAAGTTCTATCCCAAATGCCAGCTTGCCATGTTCCAAAATGAAAGCCATACACTCAATGTCCCACAAATCAAGACCTCACATAGAGGCTCTATAATCAAGACTCTACAATCTATATACCCCAAATTATATTCCCACAATAAAGACCATCCAATCAAATTCCCACAATCAAGACCCTCCAATCACACAATCAAGACATCCAATCAAACTCCCACAATCAAGACCATCCAATCAAGCTCCCACAATTAAAAACCTCCAATCAAAGTCACACAATCAAGACCGTCCAATCAAACTCCCACAATCAAGACCCTCTAATCAATTACACAATCAAGACCGTCCAATCAAACTCCCACAATCAAGACCCTCTAATCAATTACACAATCAAGACCGTCCAATCAAACTCCCACAACCAGGACCCTCCAATCAAACTCCCACAATCCAGACCCCGCAATCAACGTCAAAACGACTAATACTAACCACCCTCCCATGATCATAGCTATAAATTCAACTCACCCCTTTCCTTACCTAAACTCTCTCACATTTATACATTAACACAGCATTAATTCTCGCATTAAAGTAATTCGTCATCAAAACCATTACCCTAAACAGCTGACGCCCAGACATTAATCGGCAACTTTTCAAAAACGAAACGACGTAGAAAAACGCAATCTATAAAATAAACGCATTGCCATTCATCGATTCTTTTCCTTCTAAATCAGCTGTTACTATACGAGGTTGCTGATTAATAAAAAACATGTTACACTACAGATTCGGTCGGCTAGTATGACGGTGTGTATGATCGTTCAGTTGACGTGCTAATTAAACATGCATGGCGGAGAACTAATCAAGGAAATTAAATTAATAAAACTAC